AGTAACCATGGTTTTTTTCCCTAAAATTTACATCCCCACATTCCTCAAATATTCCATCCAAACCTCCACAATTTTCCAAAAATCATAGAAAATCAAAAACACATTTTACTTCCTCGGAAAAGAAATCACTGGATAGAGAATTGATTTGAAAAAGCATTCAAAATGTCAAAAAGATAATGCGTTCGCCGGGAATCGAACCCGGGGCCATTGCAAGTGAACAAGTTATTACATCAAGTAATCTTGGCAAGCAACGATTTTACCACTAAACCACAAACGCTGGTAAGCTTGTGAGCTTCTTGATGTAATGATTCCGCTTAGATAGGTATATATTCTGTGGATTAGTGGGTGGTTAAGTGGTTGAGTGGATGATTGTGGGTGATTGTGGAGAGACGAGGGAAAGGAAATTTTTGAATGATCTCTTTATACAGATCAGATGGTATGATCTTATAATATTCACTAATTTACTTGAGTATTATATATAAGATTGTGGAGTGGTATATACTCGTACTCGAGTACAATGTTACTATATACTTATAACTGCATTATCTAGAATCGATGTACTGTACATCTAAAACGAAAACACGAAACCGCGAAACCGCGAAATGATCAATGAATGATCTTGGTTTGGAGAGTTCACATTTCATACATGAGTCTATACTACACTACACTCGATTCTATTTCTCTTCTTATTACGAGTATATTCGAGTACATTCCGTATACATAGCATAGCGTATGTAAAACTTTGTATAACCATCAACATAAACCCCTTAAGTATATCCACAAGTCTTACTCGAGTATAATTAACCATTATCCAAATCATAGGATCTCTAACATTGAAGGATAGGGATATCAGGAAGATGTTGGGGATGTTAGAGAGGTTGAAGAGTACGATGCAGTTGGGGTTGAGTGCCGATTAGATGTGAGCCTGAGTGTAATCGTGGTGAACTGTGTGAGAGGGGAGGATGCTGGGCTTGTTGATGCTTGGGAATTTGGCTCTGAATTTTATGAATAGGATCGAGAATCATCTGCAGGTAAGAATGCGAACTCAACTTGGTCTTTGGATGGTCCGGACTGCAGTTCAAATTTTTTTGAAAGGCGGAGTGCATCTGATACTTCATATGGTTTGAATGTTTCAAATGACCAGAGAGACCGAAAGTTTCAAATATATTTGATATTCGGTATCCAATAATTTTGGTCTCACCAATTTACTTGCTATTAGTATCGATTTGAACAATATTACACTCCTCAAAGGTGCTAGCTATAATAATACTATGGATACTCCAGTCAAAATTACAATCAATATTATTAAAGATGGCAAACTTGAAGTATATAAATATTACTATAAATATCTAAAATCTATTCTGGATATTAATAAGAAAGATAAAGCTAACTCTCTGATCAATAGAGTCACTTATAAATAAAGGAATAATAGCTAAAAATAAGAATCTGGGCTTCAAATTGCTACGATCTGGTTTTGTATTAATTAGACACTCATTTCTGTTAATCAATTACAATAATACAATCTTGCAAGAATCCAACTTTCAATTTCATACTTTCTAAGTCCTGCAATATGCTTTTTGTTACTAGAACCATCGATACATCAAATAATCCCTAATTATTAGGGCTACTATCCGAACTATTAGAATTCCTTGATATATCCTCAGGAGAGTTATTATAAAGACTGACATTTCGTATAGATCAAACGCGTGAGGATATATACATAGCTAGCTGCTCCAGAACCATTTCTTACCCAAGCTGCAACATTAAAAAAAACACCAGCCAAAGACCAGAGGATGGTTTTTGGCATGTAAGCAATATGAGGATTGACAACTTGGCAATGGTTCCTTCCTATAGCTTTATAGTATTGGCAAGTCACTCATCTTAAGTGATGAATGACTGTGACTGATTTGTTAACTTTAGCTGATAGTGCGGAAACCGTGTTATGGTAATAAGTATTCCAAAATCTCCTGGGACTATTTACTCACATCCGTTTGTTGGTTTATAATGATAGAGCATTTGATCCAAGTTCAATAGCATCCCAAGATAGCTCTCGCATGCTTTGATTTCGAGCTCGACTTCGACTTCGACTTCATTGGAGATTAAATTCTTGATTGCTCAGCTCTCGACTTGACACAAAGTAATGATAGCTCTCGATTACTGACCGACCTCGATGAGAAGTTTCATTCGGAAATATCGACATTACCAACATTCGAGGTGTTTCTCAAATGTTTCCGTAAAATTTTGTTATCATTCAACCACATCTGTAATGTTTTGGATGTCCTCAGTGAAACTGACAGAAATGAAGAAATCATATCTTTCATTTCCACTATGAATACGAATGCAGTTATAAGACTAATCGTTGCTGTTACCACGCAATCAGTGGCATTCACATAATCATTGATGGGATGCAGTCACTTTATCATACACCAATACCAATACCAATATAAGCTTCGTTTCGATACTAATGGCTTTCATTCGTCGCCAACTCATCTGAGCTCACGCATGGAGAGGAAGAATACTCGGAAACAAGTACATGGGATACTGGAAAGGCATTCAGCATTTAACGATGCTTTTAAGAGTAATACTCAAGTCACCTTTTATGATCTTTCAATTATGCATCTTGAATTTTCCAGATGATGACAGACTTGGTGTAAATAGAAGACGAGAGAGGTCTAGATGATGACGAGGAGAGTCGTCTACAAAGAAATGATTTCGACGTGATCGACCGTCTTCGCCCAAAAATTTCTCGCGCGAGATAGCAGGATATCTGAGTTGACCTACTTTTCCCATCTCTTCTGTGGCCACTTTGTACCTGATGATTCTGCTGTTGTCGTTGCGATTCCAAGAGTGCTTAGAGCACTCATTAGCAAGTCAGATAGCTCGATTCATTCGAAAAGGGGTCGATCGATGAGGATTTGTTGACAAAGGAATCTATGAGATCTACAAGTCCTGTCAGCATTTAGAGGATTGAAGAGAATGGAATAAAGCTCTCCAAGTTCTCGTGGGAAGAAAGTTCTTCTTTTAATGCTGTATATATCTCCACACCCCGCCGGGTTGAGCAGAATTGTAAGAGGAAAAACCAATGTCAACCTGTCAGCTTCACGAAGACTTTAGATGTATGGATGGGCTCTCCGGATTCAAGTTTCAACACAGGACTTAGAGTTGTCAGCACGACATTGAGGAGAAACATTGGCATTGAATTTGAAATGACAAAGAATACCACAGCAACAAATTATTCAACTTAAAGATTCGAAAGAGGGGTTAACGATTCAGGAATCGCCTGAATCTCAGGTACCGACAAGGATTGCATTTAGCCAGTTATCAATCCGATATCTCTACATGAATCAACTCCACAACATGTTCAGTATGCCTAACCTACCAACCATATCATATATCTGCCACGGGGTATTCTTCTAGAAGCGCAACAATAACAAAAGTCGTAGAGGTTGCAGTGAAGTTACAGTGAAGTACAGCCAAGTAGCCAAGTAGATTGGCATCGGTTGGCATCGCCAAGAAAAGTCTTTGTCATCCCATCATTCATCGCCAAGTGAAGCTACATCCTTCTTATCTTGGTTTCATGGGTTACACATGTATGTATATCAATATTCTCCGAACACGCCAAAGGCCAATTAGGACGGTCACATTCCATATTCTCACATGATGACCTGTCAAAATACGAAAAAATAATGCTGTTAATAATTCAAATCAGGAAGGTTGATTTGATTTACGAAAAAGAATATTGAGAAAGTCCGAAATGGAGGGGAAAGAGTGGCTTCTTGGAGATTGCGTTTGATCTTGAAGATATTTCGAGATAGCACGAGATAGCACGTATTGAATGGAAATGGTAGGTTAGTTGTTAGGGCCACAACACGATCCCAGAAACTTCAAGCATCAATAGCCGAGTGGTGGAGCCGGCGCGGCGTGCGTTGCCGAGACGGGAAGCTGATCTTGGGTAGCGCCAGTTCGGACCTAAAGGCTTGTATCTGCCCTGGTGAAAACTTACTTGTTTGGGGTAATGGCTAAAGTACGGTATCAGATGATATCTCTAATCATCTAATCATCTATGCTATAGCTACCTAGTAACCTAGGTAGGTGATCCTTCATCTATACGATATCATATCAGTGATTAACAAGTATCGAAACCATCGACTGGATTCTGACGTGCATCCACATCTCCATCTAATAGCGTTTTTACCCTCAGACTCTCAGAGGATGCAATGTCTGGGGCTATTTACCTATCAATACGTGCTGTATAATTTACCTTCCATATCTCGCAAAAGCTTGTGTCCTAGATAGTGGTCAGTATATGGTTTGAGCGGAGATTATAGAGGGGTTTAGCAAGATTGAAGATAAGGTTGTATCCATCCCATCCCTACACAGTACACACAATTACCACTTTTATTGGTGGATCATTTGGAGACAGCCGCTGAAATCGCCGTTCAATTCCTGTGCTCGTTGGAAGTACCATAGATATAGGCGCCAAAACAAGGATGTTTAGATAAGAGATCAGAGGACCTCCTTTTTATGGAAATGGTTGAAGTTTATCGATGGAGATCTTCAGTGAAGAAGAATGATGATTTACAGGCGTGGTGGTTAATGAGGAAGGTGATCAAGTTGTTCAATATGGGTGTCGGCAGTGCCCTGGTCAAGTTCAGATGTGGCTTTCACAGTTGAATGGCCTCGATGAATTATTCATATTAGACTTTCATGCAAAGTGCCGGTGAAGAAGTCCAAATTGAGGCATTTCCATCACATGCTGTCGTGATAACAACCCATCTTGATCATTCAGGAAGGTAGGTTGAGATCTAAATTGAATTTCAATTGGCTTCGATGTGGAGAGCAAGTACCTCTCAAATGTATATATATCCTGTCTTCATCCTCTAGGTAATTCTTTCTCTCTCACCAGTCCAGCCATCAATCTTCACACAGTCCTCACTGTCAATCCAGTCAGTTCATTAATTGTTCGTTCGTTCAACAATCAATCCAATCAATCCATCAAAATGAAGTTCTCCGCTGTCGCCGCTGCTACCCTCCTCGCCGGATCTGCCATCGCTGCTCCAGGCACAACTCTTCGACAAGAACGTGCTTCCAAGCGTGCTGCTGGTGTCCGTCACGGAAGCCCAGTCAAGTACGTTGAAGGCCCATCCTCTCAAGTGACCAACAAGACCAATGTCTCCTACTCCTCCAACTGGGCCGGTGCCGTTCTCGTCGGTACAGGATACACCAGCGTAACCGGATCCTTTGTTGCCCCATCCCCAAGCACAGCCGGATCCGGATCCGCCTGGGTTGGAATCGACGGTGATACTTGTGGAGCTGCCATTCTCCAAACGGGTATCGATTGGACCAAGTCGGGATCTTCCATCACCTACGATGCTTGGTATGAGTGGTACCCCGATTACGCGTATGACTTCACCGGAATCTCTATTTCTGCCGGAGACACCATCAAGGTCACCGTCACCGCCACCTCCAAGACTACAGGTACCGCCACCATCGATAACGTTACCAAGGGTAAAAGTGTTTCCCACACCTTCACCGGTGGTGTTGATGGAGATCTCTGCGAATACAACGCTGAGTGGATTGTTGAGGATTTCGAGCAGAGCGGCTCCCTCGTCACTTTTGCCGATTTCGGTACCGTCACCTTCTCTGGTGCCACCGCAGTTAAGTCCGGCAAAACCGTCGGTGTTACCGGTGCTGGCATCATCGATCTTCAACAAACCAGTGTCCTCACCAACTGTGCTCTTGTTGGTAGCACTGGTGTCTCTTGCTCATATGTTTAAATCATAACTGATTGATGATCTCGAGCCCGAATCGCTTTGCTCAAAGACGACGAAAATTGGTTGGATCCCTGGATTTGATTGGTCTGGGGGAGGGACGTGATTGTCTCTCGCAAAAAAGTGGTATGATGATGTGATATGAGATAATGTGTCTTGGTGGTTGCACTCCCCAATTTTGAGCGACGGCTCTATTTCGTGGGATAGGCATTGGTTTGGCTTGGTGTATGGTAGTCAGTTTGTGGTTTTTTTTTATGTCCATAATATAGTCTGGTGGTCGTCAAAATGAAGCACATACTCTCTCTATATCTCTTTTAAGTACTGCTTGCATCATTGTGAAACTGTGAAACTTGGTTCCCCGTGATATGTTGTGCTCCATGCGGGAGATTAATGTTACAGTGGGAAAATGGCACTACTTGGGAGGTGGTATTAGATCTCGAAACTAGTGAATTGGTATCACGACACCACTTTATTGGGTTAAAAGGAACTACTTTCAAACTCAAGAGTAACATGTGAGAGGTTTGAGTATAATAACCTCGCATTCAGATTGATGTTTCCAGAACTGCAAAGACTTAGGACCATAAGACCATGATACCATTGCGATGAACTGAAATTACATGTGGCCAAAACCATACCTGAAGTCAAGTCAAATGATATGCAATGCAAATGATTCTCCACGCAAAGACTTCAATCCTGCTGCCATGTATATCCTCCCAACGCTCGATGATCCCTCCTACGCATGTTTCCAAACATCCCACTATAACATAACCCTTATCGTTTCTATTCCTTCAAACAGCAACATCTAAGAAAATAGGACTCGTCAGCTCTGACACATCAATAAAGAACATATTCCAACTTTGTATCAGAGTTTTTAAATGGAAGTAAACACCATACCTTCTTGTTGTCTCTTAGACCTCTCCTTGAGTGCACCCACCAAAGAGGTCACACCAATAGGATTTTTAAGAACAACACCAGCAACAGAACCAAGTGGGCCGAGTGGTAGATCATTTGTAAGTCCCGCGACCCCTGACACACTTCCTACAATGGGAAGATCCTGTCGTTTGACAGTACCAGTAAGAGGAACAGCTCCAGTTACACTAGTTACTGGGCCCAGCTCTCCCAAAAGGGGGTCCAAAGCACCATCGAGACCATCCAGACCAGTGATACCTTCGAGGGAGAAGGATTGTCTCTTGGCTTTCTCATTTCGCTCTTTCAGAATACTTCCTAATCCCAACTCTCCTAGTAAACCGGTAAGACTATCTAGACCTCCTAGGCCCAAATCTTGTCGCTTGGCTTTCTCTTTCAGAATACTTCCCAATCCCAACTCTCCTAGTAAACCGGTAAGACTATCTAGACCTCCTAGGCCTAAATCTTGTCGCTTGGCTTTCTCACTTCGCTCTTTCAGAATACCCAAGCCCAAGGACCCCAAGGGCAGATCTCCCAGGATACTGGTAAGACCACCTAGATCTCCTAGATCTCCCAAGCCTGATTGTCTCTTACTTTTAGAACCACCGATTTCCTGAGCGGCGGCGGCGGCGGCTTCAGCTGCAGCAATTAGTCCGGTGACGTAAGCTACATCGGCTGGGGTGGCGGAACCGGCAAGGCCGGCATTGATGAGGGCGAGAATTGCGGCCGGAGAGGGAATGGGGATAATTTGGGGTGTGGAGGTGTCTAGGGTGTTGTTAATGGATTTGCTTGGAAATTATATGAAGGTGTGGAAAATTTACCTTTATCAGGCACGGGGGCCGCAAGAGCGAGGGGGAGGATAACGGCTGTGAGTAGTGAGATAGGACGCATTTTGCCTTGATTGAAATGTGCAAGTCTCCGAAATAAATAGATATCGAAATTGTAAGCGAGGTAATGTGAAAAGGGACTGCTTGAAAGTAATGTAAAGTAAAGTGAAGTGAAGATTTTTTTTTTCTTCTACTCCAAAGTGCTAATCGGAACCTTTAAGTAACCGTCTTCTCACAGTCTTATTATGAGACAAATCCCAATACAGAAGCTCGGCTTGAGATGTCATGTGAGGGAGGTATCATATATTCGGCCCTCATCTTTCAATAGTTGTCTTTTTGGTCACCGAGCGATAACTCAACTACACCTGTCGAGTACCGCAAGAACGACAGATTGTCGTCGGTGGTGCCGAGATATCGAACTTTGTTATACTTTGTGTCTCCAATACAGTGGCGATACATCATTTGGGTACTTTGTACCACATGTTTGTTTGAAATGTGGAAAAAAATGGACATATACTAGTTATTGGGTCTAAGAATCTTGATTTGAAGAAGCTCAGACAAGAATTTTGGTAATCAAGAGGCTTGAAGCTGAGGAGAATCGGTATATTCGGAATTGATGATAATTATAGAATGAAAGTTCTGGGGAAAGAGGGGTTCAGGGTAGAGACTTTACAGGCTTGGATAACATCATCAATCCATTTGGAACATTTAACCCCCTTCAGAATATTCTATCTTTTTAGAATATTCAACGCTTTGAAACTTTCAATCCCATTAGAACATTCAATCCATTTGAAACCTTTAGTCCCTTTAGAATACTTAATGCATTTAGAACATCCAACCCATTTGGAACTTTCGGTCCCTCTGGAACACTCAATTCATTTCTCGGCAATTTTTATCTTTTTGGGTGGGGTTGAGTGGACATTTGTACGACGGGGCGAAGAAGAACGTCACTCGAAGAACGGCGAGAACATAGACCGATAGAGTTGTGGAATAAAACGCGGGATAGAAAACGAACATAGGTGAAATGAGCAGATATGTGAACCTATCTAGAGAAAAATAGTCACTCGAGAAATGACCGCCAAAGCTATATATGTGGCATGTGGGAGACCTATTCAGACAATGACAATAGCACAATAATCCTGAACCGTAACATAAACAGATTGGGCTTGAATTCCAGAGACCGCTAGATAATCGTAAGCTCCATGTGTTCAACTACGATTTCGAAGACTTCTCGTTCTAATGTTAGGAATCTTGTAAATGCACTCAAATGTCTTCTACTTGGAATACTTACGCGACTGAAATCTTCACTAATAGTCTCGAACAGTTCTTGATATCAAGAACAAATTCGTTCAATAATACAATCATCATCCCACCACTGTGTAACTAACACAGTGATAGTGACACCATGAACTTCAACGCCGTATAAAAAGGCACAAGGTCGAATCCGAAACTCCCCAACGTGAAATCGACGATTCAAAGCTTGACCACCAATCGTGAACTTTGGCCTTAGTCGTTGTAGTATAGGGTCAAAATAGACGAGCATAAACTCTCTTTACTCATGTAACAACGAAAACGTGTTTTGTACATATCCAAAACATGCTCACATGAGTGATAGCTCAATAGAGGCCAAAGTTGGCAAAGGAAGTCCTCATGATCGACTTTCCAAATTCCAATTGCGTAGATCACGAGATAATGTAGTAATGTTACTAGACGGTTTTCTTTTGAAAGTAAAGAAGATTTCCCGGAGAACTTTAAGGGTAATCAGTGAATCAGATTACGCTGCGCATATTTCAAGGACGTATATTGGATGACGAAAGTTGCGAAATCCTTCGATAAAGCGGTGAGATGTCATGTACGTTTTGGAGAAAGTGGCAGGTTTAAGATGATCTTTTCGGTAAGATCTTACTTTGGCTGACCTTCATTTTTAGAATGACTTCGAATTCGGAGACTCCCCAGTGATGATACGCATCTTTAAAGGAGTGGACTTCGATCGTGAACTATCACGATACCGGTTCTCACCGATGTTATGCATTGGTTGTGTCGATCATAAGCTAGACACCGTTAATTGATGGATCTCGACAATCTCAAGGGACATTGAAAAGCTTCGAGCCAGGGCGGCCAGATACCATCTCCAATCAACTAGATTGGGGATGGGATTGGGATGGTTTTCCACTGTGACGATTCGATATTGAGAAGCAAGATATTTCAATGCGCCCAAACAAATTGTGTGAAACTTTGAATGAGAAGCCGCTGGCTCCAGAAAAGACAAGTTTTCCTTCTCGACTCTCAAATTGATCGATATGAAGTCTTGAAATGAAGTACCACATGCATGCGATCTTGATATCTCATTGAGCAGCGATATCGTTGCTACTTCGATCAACTTATTGATTGCCCGACATAAATCTCGGCGACTTCCTGACAAACCCCCTCATGGGGAGTGTAATCCAACAGTGGGCTTACCCGAGATCTTTCACCGCAAGAGAGCCGAATAACCTCATCTCGGACCGGCAACAGCCAAAAAGCCTTCCTTTGTCTCGGCATCCTTCAGGCTTGAGGCTGCATTGGGGAGGTGAACTCGTTCACGTCAATATCCCTAGGCCTTATCTTATGCACCTCAAGTTCATGCATGCGGAAATCCGAACGTCTGCATATCTTCAAATAACTTGGTTTGGCCCGGGAACAACCACGAATATTTCGGAAGCGCACGCTATATGCAGGGAATTCATCATCAGGTATGGATATCTATTGTCTTTACAAACATAGTGCTTACAGGGAATTTACGGGTCTTTATAAGCCCCTTGCGTTCATCCTTTCCGTCAGCGGCAACCTCATTGTCGTGCCAACTAACGTAAGCAGTGAGTCAGGCTGAAAGGACCCGAGTGAGAACCTTAGTCGGGTCCCTAAACTGTACGGTTGAGTGTAGTGCTGTCAGGTGATCTGCATATTACAGTTGGAAGAGGCGGAAATACGAAGAGACAAAAGAATCAGCTTACTTACAGCGATCTGCGGGGCATTTAACATGACAAACTCATGGGGATGGATGCATGCCACTGGATTAATATGAAATAAGAGATTTACCTTGCACGAAACGTTGAGACGACGATTCCAATGGCCTATAAGGTTCTCTTTATCGTAGACGGAAAGACGACGGTATAGCTTACATGAATATATATTGTCATAGATGACTGCAGACGTACAAGCAAGGTAAATGATGATGTTTCGACAGTCGATCTGCATACTGGAGAGAACTCGTGCCGTGAGAGTTGATGATATGGCGCAGCGATTGACCAAATTGAGCTCGGTTTAAGTAGAGACAAGCTCTATTCAATCGTTATGGGAACTTCTCACCCGTGGGAGACAATCAACCGCTTGGAGCTTCAGTCCTGGAGGAACCCTAGAGTTGCTGCCAGCCTGAGATGCGAGGGAAGTGAGAATAAAGTTAACTAAAAGCAGTGAGATTGACGAGGATATAGCAACCAAGGAAGTTCTTTAGTAATGTAACGATAATATGCCGATCTCAATATAACGCTAAGAAGACCATCGAAGAGAGAGCTGTTATCATTTCCCCCGACAAAACATGGTTGTCATTCGGATGTACACATACAACGTGATGATCCACAAAATTGATCTGAGATATGTCAGTCTAAATGATTGAGTCATGAAGCATATAGTAACCGATTTTCTTGAATCTCAACAGAATCCTTATCCTATCAGCTGTCAGCAAACCTCGGAGATGTGGTCCCGGCTCGATATTGATGTGCTGCCCTATATCTGGTGGTACTGTGGCTTGCGGGCATCGAGATGGGAAAGGGATCCGGTGTTTGGTGGGTGTTGCGAAGATCCCTTCCAGGAAAGCTTGTAGCAAATGGTAGCAAGGATTATCCTGATCGTCTAAAGAAAGAAACCAACATGTTGGTTTGAAAGCTTGGGAATCTCATCCCCGACAATTCTTAAATTATTGCAGCAAAACCACATGGGAGAAATCAGGGTCTTTGACCCCAGAAGAAGTATCGTGATAAAAGATAGGTAACACCCGAATCTTTGGAAGAGAACCCACCAATCATAGAACCAATGTCGCATATCAAATAGATGAGGTTATCTTATCGAGAGGTTCGAAGGACTGGTAATAGCAGTTATAATATATCCCACAATGTGGGGGTTAACGACAGCGAAGGAAGCTGAATAGGATTGCGCGTCGTATACATCAGAAGTTGTCATCTCTGAATATAACCAGTCAACCGCAAATGCTCACGCACATAAGTCTTCACTACGAACCAAGAAGACGCGAGGCCGAAGACTTGCTGATTTCCGTAACGTCGGAGATCCACCCAAAAACCACTCGCCGGCGATACGATGACAATCACGTCAAACAGCGCGTTGTACTTTCGGAAGTTGGCACTAAGATGGCCATGTTGCGGTCGGCGGTGCTAGAAATATATCGGCTAGGCGAGGATCAGAGAGCGGGCCGAATCCGGTTGAGATCCGTCCTCCACCGGGAATATTTTGCGGATTGAGATTGTAGGTCATCTGAGCCATTGCCCACAATGAAACGGCAGAGCTGCAGATTCACTGCCAATAGTATTGTTGATGCAAATTTGATGTGGTTTTGGGCAATCTCCATGGGTGTTTCGAATCCAGTATTTCTTGATGCTTAGAGCTGGCCCTCCGGAATATTCTCCCTTTCTGGCGTCTTGGAAGCCGATGTGACAGCCAAGATGACCGCGCAAAAGAAGCCTTTGGATGTAGGGTCCACCCTGCGCAGCTACGAAACGAATTAAGCGAAGGATGTGTTCGATATTTGAAGGCAAAGCTTCGACGCTCAGGGTACATTATTGCCTCGGAAGAATTATACCCCTATAGATTAGAACGCTTTGATCGAAAGGCTAGTAGCGACTAATTTGACGGGTATGGTTTGCGAGATGCCCCGCTAAACGAATTGCTCCTTTCTAAAAATCAAATAGTACCGGGTACTTAGAAGGTACATAGTCGTAGTTTTATTGTGAAAACGTTCCTTCAATAGGATTAAAGTTGTACTCGGGTCCGTACGTACCAGTTTCCTATCAGGCAGTCAACAAACGAAGAGCCCCACGTAAAAATTGGGGGTACCATCAAGCGGATCAAACGGCCAAGGATGAGATACCGTATAGTACTTATCTGCTTATCGACGTGACCATCATTCATACAGTACGGTACACAATCGCAGCGAATGGGCTCTCTTTATTTTGTGTGAACCGTGCAGTATTTCAACTTTATTTAAATAGTTGAAAAATGAAAACGTGCGAGACTGTACGCGAAATAAATACAATCTCAGATGTGAAATCTCCCGTAACTAAGCTCCGTTTCCACCATTTCCAAGAATGGTCATCGCATAGTTGCCAGGATGGCATTTCACGACTAATATTCACGTAATCGTATAGTGCCTAGTGATTGGGAATCGGAAACTGTTGATGATTGTTTTCGTACCGGTACCAAGAACCGTTCTTCGACTTCGGCCGGGGCAGAGCACGTGGAGCTTACTGTACTTGTGGTTTTCGATATTTTTGATACATTGATACCGCCAAGTACCAGCAAGTTACTCAACATGCTTTTGTTCGTAATTCTCCCAATCACGGCCATAGCAAACTGATATTTTGCTTAAAATTTCAGCGACACCGACACGATGATACAAGCTCTCGGCACAGCCCGCTGCACGCAAGACAACCGTTAAAGCCACAAAGCTACAATGCCATTTTAGACACGATAAAGTAAAATTCCCGATAATCAAATCATCAAATACCAAGTGTGTCACTGCAGGCTCGTCCAGGCCCCCCGGGACGGCTTACATGCATGATAGCGGCGGGCGCATCTCAGTGTAAGACGGTTTTGATCCCGGGCCCGATAGATGATAGATACCTTCCTTCATCTGATCGTTATATCTTTAACCGTACTCGAAGTTTATATGTAACTTGCATTTGTGCCACACACCAAATCTAATTGCGGATCTTGTTACTTTCTGTTGGCATCAAATGGATATTACGGCACCATCTCCATCACGGGTTCGTAAGTACTGGACGGACGACGAAGATCAGATCTTGCGCAGAGAAGCTACACTGCAATGTACTTGCCACCGCTTTCCTTGAAGTCTCTTCTCTTTGGTTGCCTATGTCCTTAACAAATGTAACGAGCGCTCGGCTGATATTAATCGTTTCAACAAATAGTCAAAGAAAGAGGAATCGTGAACGATTGGAACTTAATCGCGTCGAAAGTCCGGGGTAGGACAAATAAAGACTGCCGGAAGAGATGGAGCAAAGTGGGAAAGGAGGTCAACAAAGGACTCTGGGATCATGAAGAAGACGATCGATTGAGAAGGGGAGTAGAGCAACACGGTACCTAGTAAGTAAACTTAGAACACGAAAGCATCCTTTCATCAGAGCTAAAACTTTTCTCGTAAGTTGGACCATGGTGGCCGATATCGTACAGACAAGACACGCAGACCGTGAGTACATTTTCGAGCACACTTGTGTATCAATTTGTTCAAATGCTAACGTGGAGGTGGAAAGAATGCGCCAAAAGATGGTACCACTTTCTCGATCCAAACATTAGTCATGAGGATTGGGATAGCGACGAGGAAGCCCGACTTTTAGAGGCTGTCCTTGTACATGGAAGGAGTTGGAAGAGCATAAGTGAGAAGGAGTTCCCAAATCGCTCACCAACAGATATAAAGAACCGGTTAGGAAGACCCCTCAATTCCACAGTTTCTCAACACAGCACTTACTTTTTACTTTTACTGGATGTAGATATGTTATTATGGAACGAAAGGGTCGATTAAAACGACGGAAGGCATCTACAACTCAGTGCCCTCCAGTACGAGAACGCAGCGGTTTCGACTTTCCCAAGGCCGAAAGACTCGACCAAGGCTTGCGCACAGAATCGTCACCTGACCATTCGATGGAATACGAAACGGATAACTCTTTGATGGGACAATTGCCACTTCCGGGGCTTCCTCTCCAGCTCACCGCGCAGCATTTGTCTCATAACCATTTTGACAACGATGCACATTCACTTTTCAATTTTGATGGGCTACCGCCTTTGCAGTTCAACGATATGTCTTATTCATCTACGGAACCTTCATCACCTGGAATTTTGTCCCAAAATTCGGTTCCTACAGGGTACAACATGGGCATGCCAATTGGTGGTCTTACAAATGAAACGGAAGCAGATATTGACCAGCTTTACTGTGAAGACATGAATTTTGATTTGGCATTAGCCGAAGCATTCTCGGCACCCGATCACCGACATTCTATATCTTCTACGCCACCAACCATGAGCTCGCTCTCCGATATCCCGGCGGGTGGACATAACTACAAGCTGATACTAGAGGATGTGAAGCCAGACACATTGTTCTCCATAGTAAACATGCTTGTGGAATCTAGGAGTAATGTGAAGATGGAGGTCTTCAGTAACGTTGCTTGATACCCCGGGGAATAACTTCTGCCATTTTAATGAGAACTTTTGGAATGGCATACTGTACATATTTTTGGTAAACTTTGAGTTCGGGAATTGCATGGATTTTGGGATTTTCGCAGGTCCTGCAGGCGCATTGGTAGGTTGGGTATATTGATTCGAGCAAGAATCTATCATGAAGAGACTTCAGTCGCCCATGGAATACAGAATGACAAGAATATAGAAATATGAGACATTAAGGACAATTTGTCGCTGATCTATTGCGATAACGTTGTGATTATCGTGAGACAATCCTTGCTACTACCTGGAAAGAGAATAAACACCGAAGATTATCCATACTGTACAATGTACTCTGTACGCCTATATTTCCATTGCTTAATGGAATCTTGCATGAGTTTTCTTAGGTCACATTTCTACAAGAACAAGTCGCTATACGCATCAATCATGCAGCTGTGCATCCATGCAGCGGTAAATGTCGTCCCTCAAATTCCAGTCAATCTAACTGATAATAACCATATTTTGGCACTTGCTTAGATGTAAGCGTTCCACTGCCATAGGTCTATATCTGTAGCATGTAAGGCATATTCAAAAACCCTACTGTGCGGGTGGGGCGGTTACAGCACTGGCCTGTCAATTCGGCTATATGCACCGCACTCTTGGGTGAATGAAGACCCTTATTTTCCCCACCCCCATCCAATTAGTGTCTGCTTATCTGGGGTTGTCAATCACAACGCTTTAGCTGAACGTATCTTGCGCCTTGCATAAGAAAGTTTGGCCACTAGGTAGCATCTTCTCAGCCTGCCAGTTTGAGATGATCTCGAATAGATAAACAAGACAAAGTGTACAAAATGCGAGGTCCACAAGTGACATTTCTTACTGCATCGTCACACAGACCTCATTGCGTTGGTGCTTTCATACGAGGTCTACCACGTGCAGTCGGCAGGTAATACATTAAAGATCAATGGCATGACGTAAGCTCCACCCGATCATTGGATATTGGGTGGTTACAAAATGGCTGTAAGCAGGTATCCATATCCGATACATAACATATTTTTGAGTTGAACCCCCGAGGCTGAACATACAAGGGAAGGGTACCGGTTGCGCTGACGTGAGAGCCTTAAATATTTTATGAGGTATGTTACCATGTGATAGGGCCGTGTTAATTCCTGTGACCAGATATGATAAAATCGACATATGTGATTGGACCGTTTAGGGAGGTGTTCTCTCTATTCCTCCAAACCTTTCAGTTGGCCGTGTAGCACTAGCAAATGCCTACTCGTAATAATAAATTCCAACACTATTTTCCAGGCCTCAGATCGGATGAAATTGTAGACATTATCGCCGAGACGAAAGAGGTGACAGATATTAGATTCGTAATCTTGCAACATGGCGGTCAGCATCTGTAATGTCGTTTATCTAGAAGTGTGTGACAACTTTAGCTTTGGCTATAGATATCGTATCCAACAGAAAAACTCTCTATTGCCGGATAACATGTAATGGCATTAGCCAATAGAATTCCCAGGCCGTTGCGCAGATAGTATTGAGTTAGTAGTATTTGGAGGTAGAAGGACATCGACGTAAGTCGAGAGGCAATGCAGAAACAGATCCTTCGCGGCATCTCTGGTCCATTCCATCCCTAAATTGCATGGTCCAAAGGCAGGCACCAAGGTTTCCGTGTAGGAGTACAGCACTTTATTGACGCTCTCGGTGATGGAAACTATAGCAACCGGGAATGATTATCTGACAGCTGAAGTGTGGATCATGGGATACCGAGCATCGGCAAACCGTCATCCCGAATGACAAGGACCATAACACAAATAGTGCGGCAAGCGGTCGAATGTAATCTTCCAAGATGTGATCTCTGGTAAGGGCTTATGAAAATACGTGTGTTTATACCGTCAATTTTGTCTCCCCACCTCTTTGTACAGTCAATATCTGTGATGGCGAGATTTGCTGTGCGGTAGGATACGCAGCAATAGGATATGCAGACCTATGAACTTGTCACATAGAGTGCGATTCAAGGGACGATAGAAAAGAGCGTTCTAACGTAGAACTAGGGAACCATTTACTCCGTATGCAACGACAGGATTTGGCCAAATAATAACCAGGATACAGCCACAAATAGATCCTTATCAGTGCGAGTTGCCCACCAGTCAAAATTCCGAGAGACACCTTGGTAAATAATCGACATTGTGTGCTGGTAGCTCATGCTCTTGTCTTAAGTTCTCTGCGGGGTCAGCTTAGATTGTCGAACTCGCTTTAATCTGGAGTGGATCATGGCTAATGCATTCCAGACTCTCCACTTCGGAAATGAGTCATGAGTCTGGAATCGAGGTACTTTATCAATTGGTTCTTGAAGAACCAAGATGGCAAAGATTATACCGATATTCAACTCGAAGAGGAAGGAGCGGCGCTCGCGTTCGCATGCAGTAAGCGCACTGAGCGGAAAGAGACGCATGATAATTGATGGTTAGGGGGAGAGGACTCAGAGGAGAGACTGTTCGATGTTGTTCAATGTTCGGCGCTGCCAACTACATTTACATGTAAAAGGTTAGATAATGCGCGCGAGAAATGGAGGGGTGGTTCGAGTATCTCGTACCATTGAAGGAATTCCAGTCTACTGGATAACTCAAGCAACGTCCGGATCCTCGTGCCTCATGCGTTGGGTGGCCAGAACATTTGGACAGCTTTGTTGCTGACACACGAATATCCAACCTGCTGTACACCTCAGCGGGTGTAAGGCATATGCCGATAATGTTGCTGCTGCTGGTCTCGCTGGAATGGCTCCAGAAGATTTTCGAGTAAAAGAAATCGATCACGTGAAGAGGCGACAGAACCCAGTCACGCGATGTGAGTGACGCGATGCAAATTCTCGATTGCCAATGAATCTGTTCATGGTGCGCTTGTCTGGAACGATTGCTAAGAATATTATATCAAAAAGAAGTTCTTTGTCGTCTATGATAAGTGACTGAGTTTGTGAGATAAAAATAGCCGAATCGGAGCTCCGGAGTGGCATCAGGTGATAACTCTTTCCATATTGTGTTTGAAATAGGTAAAGACCTCCTGCTGGATACAACGTCTCTAGGGTCATTCCAACAACTCCGCAGCTCCGTGTGGGAACTCCTGTAACAGCAACTGTCGGTACCATAAGTTTGCTTTCGGCAGTACATTCTCACGTGTTCAGTCTATCTCTGGCCCCACACATATCATTTCCGCATTGTCTTACGCGTACTCAACTCCCGAGATCTTGTAGCATCGATCTCATCATCCCGTTCTTGACCTTGTCTAGAGGATGTTCTCTCCTGGATGTGCTCCCGCTTTAGAAGGCTGCAGTCCTACTATGGTACATCCATTTCCCGCTCTAATCAGTTCAGTTCTAGTCACATCTACCATTCTTCAAAATAGATCTTCTCCACACATTTTCCGGTTATATCAAGTTATCAACAGTTGGAACAGGTTAATCATCCTCCATTCTCATACACAACACGAGGCTAGGTTAGTGATGTACCTCCCATGGGCTCAAAAACTTCCCTCTATGCTGAATCTGTATTTCACATGAAGCATGTAGAATTCATTCTATTTCAGCCTTTAACAGCCATCCAAGCATTTGGGAAACCACTTTTAATCCAATGTCTATTTTCGTGCTGTTATGACCAGAGTTGTCAAACAAACAATGGGCAAACCTACCTATCACACCAACATCTCAGATATACTATCTCTTTAGCTAGTCATTTCTTTCTGATGGTGCTTTTCTACAATGTTGTCCGCGAAGTGGAAGATTGGGGCTCTAGATACAAACATATCTACCTGAGTTATCTAAAGCATGAAGAAGTAATAATAGGATGTTGGCTCCATAATCCCTGCTTCTGCTTTCATTTCGCGGTTGTTTTTTTTTTTTCAAACTCGGCTTGGATAACCGTATTCAGTATATCGGTTAGAAATTTCCATCTAATAGAATACAACCGACTGGAGAAGTCACATCCCTGGTTGACTAAAGCTGCTCGGACTGATAGCATACTTCCCGATCACTGTTGGCCGAGAATTTCGGCCTTGATCAGATCAATACAATCTCGCTAGACTTCATCGACTTTGTCACGGATGGGCTTTAAATGAGAGTCTTCGATTCCATGCATCCGAATCTGACAAGAAATATGTAAGGTCGTTCGAGTTTGAGCCAACCTTGTCTTAGAACCCGGGGCCGAGTGGTATCTGGACTTCTATATATATATATATGGATACACTGTACGCCGGTATTCGATACAACATTACTTGAAACGATAGGCCAAAAGATACCAGATATGGAAGTGGGAACGAAAATGAATCGCAAAGAACTTTCTAAATTCCAAATAGATCATCCTCAATTTTCAATTTTGACAGCGCAACATACCGCACCTTCCTGCCAAATCGTCTCTTTATCACCACTTTTCGATTCACGACGAATATCCTTTGATTTTGCTCACCTGAACGAGGTGTAGGAACGTACGGCGATACATCCTTTACGCGTGCCATGATGCCGATTACCCATCTGCTCGAGATACGATCTCACGAATGCGCGTTCTGATTATTACCACAGGATATGTAAGCTGCTCGACCTGTTGAAAATAGAGGAAGAGGGAGATGCCAGAAGAAATCCGACTTTTTGATGTCAATAACACAAGCTCCGAGTTTATGTAGCTTTCAGTCTTCACATCCCCCTACCGCTAGACTTTCATGGCTAATAAGCTTCCCGAATATCACGATACAGCCTTTCCTACAGACTACACTGTTCAATACACACACCGCTGTTTGTCTCAGATAGACGTCTTCCATTTAATACATAGCAGCACCAGGATTTCATTTACTCAAGCTGAAAAGTTTGGTGCCACACAACCGGGGAACTTCAACAGACACGATATAATCTACGGGATGAGGAACAGTCCCAGGGTAGGCGATCAACACATTATTTGAACGACTCGGATTGGCTCAAGATTCATATCAAGGTTCATAGGATATGCTCCGCGATCTATTCTCGACCATGTTGCTCACCATGAGAGCGCAATTAATACACCACTTCCAGCAAACATTCCACATCCAACAAGGGAACTTTCGCATCCTCTCACCTATTCATCGGACGGGATCTAATACTGCAGGAGTATATCGAAGCATCAATACCCTCATCCTTCGCTTTCTGATACCGTCCTCCTCCCTCAAGCATCTAACGCCAATAACCCCTCATCGGTCTAAGACCACCACCAAAAACATAATACCCACTACCTTTACGGCCTCTCTTTGCCCGTACCATTGAATTTAAACTTCACTCTACACACCTTGAAACGTGCAAGTGATCCAAGCTTAGGATGAGAATTATGTAAGAATACTTTACAAGAAGTTTCAACATCTCAGGTACATCATGAGAAGTACCAAAGTTTAGATGACCAATGTGCATCTTCTCCACACAAATAATCAAAGAGCGGATATTAGTAAAACACCAATTTGAAAGTTCGCCTCCATCCATGTACATATCCCATCTACTCGAGTAATCTAACCATCCATCAACTCGATATTGGGGCTTTTACCTCAATTTCCCATTTCCAATTTTCCAATTTTCCGCAAGTCAGCATATCAACTGGCATAGATCCAACCCAGGCTGTTTCTAGGAGACAAATCAACTCAATTAGGTTCCGGCCCCTAAACTAATATAATAGACCAACCAATTTCGTCCACCAAACATTCAGTCCTTTCAATTGCTATCTCGTCTTCAACCATACGCTAGTATGTACGTATCCGACTTAAACCTTGATTTTATCACATCACATAGATACCCGGTATATGTATACGGTCTCGGAGAGAAGCGAACATCATTGAGATCCCAGGGTTTTATTTCGCATCTTCTAACAATTGGGGATTAAATATTCTTTGAATCCCAAATCTACAGTAATATTAGATTAAAAGTGAAGATAGCACACTAGCTTACAACACAAGCTAATTCTATTGAAGTTTGGAAAATCAGATCAGGGGGGGTTAAAAAGTGCAGAATTTGGACCCATGAGTTAGTTAATTGGATTTCTATATCTATATATGTGCTATAGAATAATCCTGTGTATAGGGTGGAACTTTGAACTTTGAACTTTGAACGTGTATGGAATTATCATTATATACTCCTGTACCATCACAACATATCCCATCCTATCTCATCCTCGAAATCCCTACAAAATCCCAGGACCAGGATATCTACTTATACCAAAACTCTAAAAGAACCCCCTCCGCTGCTCCTGCCGCTGCGCATCCAAGACCACACTATCCACTCTTTCCAATCCCAGTCCAAGTCCCAATCCACGTTCCTCCTCGTGGGAAAACATCTTATTCGCCCTTTCACTCTCACTCCCACTCTCGCTTCTAACCGATGCGAATGAATTTTGCGAGGTTTGTGGTTCTCGAGATTGTTGAGGCAGGAGAGGTGGAGGTGGTCTAGCTGGAGCCGTTCTAGGATTATTGAAACCCGAGAGAACAGACGGGGGATTCCTGGGTCTTCTATCCCCAGCATGTCCTAAATATTCATTACGCCTCTCCCCCGGCCCGGCCCCCCCTCCACTAATAAACGACCCCCCCCTCCCCATCGTACCACCCTCCAAATAAATTCCACCCCCCAGCGCCCCGTCAAATTCCCTCGATACCCTATCATCTTTTTTCACATGCACATTATGGGCTTTCTGCTTCAAACCTCTAAATTTCTCCGACACGGTTATGAAGACCCCTATACTCTTATCTCCCATTTCATCTCTCTTCCCCATATTCTCACCCATTCCGTTCTCCGATTCAGATGCTTGTCTCGTCCCATCCTGTGATTGCGCCCGCGTCTTGGCATCCCGGCCCCGTTTGCGTCTCCTTATGCAAAATATGGCTATTCCCAATACCAAGATGAGGACAAAGACACCGACTCCGACGAGTATTATGGGTATATTTGCAGTTTTAGGCAAAGTTGATGAGGAGGATTGGGTGGTTTGGATCTCTGCTTGGCTTTGTGCTTTGCTGGAATTCTGGGAATCGATAGTTGAAGTTGCAGTTGTGGTTTGTCCATTTTGGTTTTGATTTTCGCTGGGACTCGAAGATGCAGAGGAAGCTTGGGTATAGGTAATGAGACCGGGAAAGGTAGAGAATGGTAATGGTTGAGAATTTTGATTTTGGAATTCGCTTGCGCTTCGGGTTGCTTCGAGAGAATTAGATGGTTGGTTTTGTGGGGTGGTTGTTTGTGTGACGAGAATCATGAATGTAGAGGCTGTTGCTGAGCCTACTGGCGAAAATACCATTGCAGAAGGGGTGGGAGATTGAGTAGAGGTGACGATTTGGATGGAGACGGAAACGGAGGTTTTGACGACTGTTTGGGTTGCGGAGGATGTCTGGGTTTGAACTCGTGTTGTGATTGCGGTATTGGTGTTGGTAGTTTCGGACTGAGAAGGTCTTTGTGATTGAGAGTTTGAATCTGAGGTGGCGTCTGGATTGAAGGAATTCTCAGTAAAGGTTGTTCCTTTCCCTAACCTGAGGACCTTTCTCGGTGTCGAACAGCACGCAAAACCCTGACCTTCGTCGCAACAATACTGACCCAGCGAGGGGTCACCACACGGTAATACTGCTCCAGTATCTTTGGCTAAATTGTGTATCAGCAATTGCTTCCCTTTCCTTGACATTGTATTCAAAGTTTCTGAAAACTCACCACTTTGACAAACATTCGGGCAAGAAGCCGCTTGGAAAGTAGGATCGACACAAGAACCACGGGAAAATTTATTCGGATCGTTTTTCGAAACGCACAATTTATTGGTGGAACAAAATTCGTTGGCTCCGCAACATCGACTTGTGTTGTCGCCGCTAAAGCAAGGTATTCCGTTGGGATCATTATTTCCATTTGACAGAAAGCATTGCTCAGATCCTACAGCATTGGTATATCGGGACTGCTGCCGTCGATTCGGCGAGGCTTGGGATTGCTGAGCCTGGGTTTGTTGTCCTTGTCCCCCAGTTGTAAGACTTTGAATTGAAGATTGCTGATTTTGTCCTTCCTGGCCCTGTGCTTGTTGCGCATGTCCCTGCTCCTGATGCCACACCCGTGTTCTATTTTGCATAACATCACTTGATAAGACCGCCGATACCTGTACCAGCAAGGCCGTTGCCACCGCTGAAATTTGTCGAATGAACATTGAGAGTATTTGCACTCATACGTGTACGTATACACGAATAATAGCAATAAGAACCAGGAAGAGAGCCAGCTCTTGAAAGTCGCGAATTCCCAGTCCCATGCCTGATATTAATATTCATTCCCCAGACTCTGACTTCCACGACGAAATATCTCAAAGAAGCTACACGCGTGGCTTGCTTGTTTCCATTTCCGCGATGGCCACCTGGATGAGGAACAGCTTGCGGAAAGTTCATGTCAAGACGCTTAAGCCTTGAAAGGGAACCAGGGATGCAGTGGTTTCCTCATCAAAACTAGCTGTTCCCTTTGTATTACCGAATCTTGACATAATATTTTGAGATTTCCCCCCTTCTATGGTTAGATTTAGCAAATGAAACACGCTTACAAAGTTACAAAACATCCTATAAGTGAAATAGGTTTAAGACAGATCAATTGAAGAACTTGAGATACTTACAGTAGCGAATGAAACAAAAGTTATAAATCCTCACAATTACGAAACAATCGCACGGCCGTCCTACCATACCGCGACTCAGTGACACAACGACGAGAAGCCGAGATTTGGGATTTGATTCTTTCTCAGAGTGGAAAACAGTATATATATATATTGCCTTACAAATTAATTCATCCCAATGAATAAATCGAGGCTACAAATTGCGCAAGATATTTTTATTATCCTTCTCACCGGCAAATTTGAGGCTAATTCGTCGGCACTGTACTCGAGTCTTAGCACAAAGTACAAAAACGTTTCAGATATCGAGATGTTTCAATTCCTATTCAACTAGATTCCTCAAAAACATTCGAGTATCCTCTATCCTATCTGCGAGAATGTTTAGCCCTGCTGAGACTTTTTGAGATAATTTAATACCCACAAGCTTCTGTGCTCGAACTACTCGCGTTTCACTTGACCCTCTAGAATATCGTTCTACGAATCGTACCCCAATTGATGGTCTGGCAGAAAGAATCTTTCTTGGGTCCATACCGTGGAAGGAACAGCGGGCAAATGGCTATTTTGATCTCACAAGCCCAAATTCAATAAGAAGGATGGATAGAAAGACCTCCTCATGCGTGAGAAATTGATGCAGCTTTGGAGTTTATAGCCCGGGGATATCCATCAAGTAATGTATAAATAGCATAAGTTGTCTAGTAGAACTATGAATACTCAAGACGGCTGTCAAACACCTGATATCACTGCCAGACTGGCATTTGATAGACGTGTCGAATAGGGACATGAGCGGGGGGTATGTGAAAATGTTCTACCGCTGAGTAGACGTTTGAGTGACTGAAATTTCATATTGTCAAGACTTGTCTCAAATAACAAACGCTATCATATTCAAAAGTAGCATCAAAATCTCCAACACTCTCAACAAAAGAAAACACGTCATAATCTCAATTCCAAATCTACTCCCTATTCTCCCCAGGCATAAATGGACACCCAGCAGAAGCTATCCCAGCTTGCGATTTCTCTGCCGCATACCCTTCCCCATGCAGCAAGGTCGTCAGATCCTCCTTACTCCCACTGGGCAATTCTGTTTTCTTGACCTCGCTTTTCTTTGCTATCTGTCGGAACACTTCGAGAGGGTCGTAAAAGATCTCAACGGCTTGAAGACGCACTGCCGAGTCAACTTTGGCTATTGCGACGCCTTGGATGTCGATTGTATCCCCATGAGCGGGGATAGTTACTTTTTCGCCTTTACTGGTAGGGTTCAGTACGGGGTATGGAGGGAAAGGGGACAAGAAAAATGGCAGGGAAGAAAGCATACTCATTGACCCCTACATAATCATTCTTCATGACACCCCAATGTCTCCATTTAAAACTAACAGTCGGTGGCCCACTATACACCTCCAGCACCTCCCACGCAAAAGTCGGGATCATCCTTTTGAAAGTCTTGTGACTACTTGAAAAATCCGATTTCTCAGGAGAATAATATTCGTTGGATGTGAGGATAGCATTATAAGTACCCACTTTCAACATATATTCGCCTGTAACAGGTGCAGCGCCATTGATAGAGAAGGTGAAATTGGGATAGTCAATGGTGCGCCAGTCGGAAATGTCGGTTTTGAAGGAGGCTTCTACTTCCCAGTTCTTGACGAGGTTTTCAACAAGAGAGGGAAGGGATGCAGCCGTGTGGTTTTGGGTTTTGGCTGTGACAGGAGGTTAACGAGAGTTCTCTATTGGTTGCTAAATCGAGGGTTTGTTTGGATACTGATTTGGCTTCTTAAATTGCATACTTTGCGCCCATATCTTTCTTGTATTTGTGTAGTCTGGTGGCTGATTGTATCGCCATTTGGCATCAACATCTTTCATTACTGCATTAGGATCGAGGAGATAATCTGGCAAACCGGCGTTTGCGTCCGCTGCTGGCGCTTCTACGTGTGCTGAAGCCATGGCCTGTGCTGGAGCAGGTATCAATAAGAATGAAAAGGTCAGCTGACAACGAATTATACCGTCTGTGGTAGATTAATAGCTCTCTTTGGACTTTCAATTGCAGGTGCAAATGGTGGGATCTTGATGCACACACACACATATATATATACATCGTAGACGATCTTACTTCGATACGCCTTTCGAGGAAGACCCCGCGGGTAGTCAAATCTTACTCCTTGCATACACATTACATACTCCTTAACTGCATAGGATGGTGTGTCAGTTTGCTCAACCATTCGTTGAACCGTAAACCGGGCTGCTGCAGTGGCTGCACTACCAAATTCAGCTTACTTCTGCTGCGAATTGTCTGAATGGTCATTGGTCTGTATAACAAGCGCCCGATATGCTAACCTCTTGTGGTCTTAGCTCGAGGATTTTTGTTGGAACACGGAAGCCTCCAATGATGATTGCTCGCGCCAAAGTCACTCGCCGACCGAGGCTGGAAAGGCTTGAATTCATGCTGCGAGGGTTCCATCTGCAAGATCTAATCGCTTCCAAATTTAGACTAATTGAAGCATGGATAACTATATCCGTCGAAAACACCGATAGTCCAGACAGATCTAGACCTTTTACCCTACTCGAGTACAGAGTAGATAACTGATGGAACTGTTCGTCTAGCTTATATAAGACACAAATGAAAGAAACAGACCTTCAATATTCTCGTTGTACAGACACTCCAAGGCATTGGAAGTTGGAACAGAGGTATCGTATTTGGGAATGAAAGAAACATACATACACTTGTACGTGGCTCATAATTAAAATCAATTAAAGCTCATGTTCATCTCGAGATCTAGAAGGAATTTGGAACTGGTAAGAAATTTGGAAATTTGGTGGAAACATGGGGAAAGTGGAGTGGCAAATGAATCCTCACCGCCTGGCAATATATCTTCAACTATTTTAAAATTCTCGGAGTGAGAACACACAATTAATTACATTTCCTCCATTCAACAGACATTATATTACTGCAATGGGCAAATTAAAGGCAAAGAGAAAGCAGCCAAGTCTGAATACTGATCAGAACAGCAAGAAGGTGAAGACTTCAAGTGACGTTACTACTTCAAGTGTCGTTACTCCACCTCCAGAAGTTTCGACCGAACTCAAGACCGAACCCAAGACCCTCCATGATCTTTTAATCGTTGAAGAAGACATCGAAATTGCTGTAGACACTCTCAGCACACTTGCTCAAAACCCTGCCCTTATCAAATCGAAGGCATGTAAGGAACTACGAACAGCGGTTTTCGACTTTCGAAATGCTTGCACAATAGGCTTCAATGCGTCCGGTATGCTATCTATCCCGTCGCATCACTGATGGATGAGTACTAATTATGATGTAGTCGACACAAATACTACGGCGCGTATCAGCGGTGCTTTGGCAGATGAAGGTTATACCGAAGCTAGAATTCTACTCGCGGAGATGCGAATTCGAGAGCAGAAGCCTAAACTAGGTGCGCTCTGCCGATGGGTTCGAGATTTAGATGTTGTTAGTGGTCTCGCGGAACAACTAGATGACACTGCAGCAAAGCGAACGATGCGAGAGGAGCAGTTGCTGGTTGTGCTAGATGCAATACTTCGGGTCACTGGCCCGGTAGACTATTCGATTGAGGAAGGAGTAGTCATAGACGGTCCTATTGTACCTAGGAAAGTATGGAACTTGAGGGATGACACGATACCGTCCAAGCAAGTCTACGATTTGGTTTTGAATGGCAGCATACTCAATTCTTTACCTAAAGATATAAAATTACAGTTTCGTGTCATAGAAACAACGCCAGGTTTGGATCGCAAGCCAGCAAACCTCCATCCAGCGATCCTTTGGGCATCTGAGGACAATGCTATTGCTTTTTCTGATAGCCCTCCTAAGACGACCCACCACATACATCCAATTGTACCGAATCTACATTTACTCAGAGATGTCTTGAGTCCAGAAGAATGTATTCGAATCATTGCTGCAGGCGAGACGGTGGGATTTGCCCCCGATGCTCCAATACGTGCGGAAGGCGAAGCGAATAGCATTTTGGCTCACAATTTCTATTGGGTTGCGGACAACGCTTTCTGCGATGGAGTCTGGAACAGAGTTAAAGAATTCATTCCAACACAAGTCAATGGAAGACAGGTAAGAGGTCTAAACAGAAGATTTCGTGTTTACCGCTACGTTCCTGGTGCCGAATATCGGGCCCATATTGGTGAGTGATGAACCTTTTCCATTGTATGTCTTCTTGCTAAAACGAGTCTTTTTTTTTTCCAGATGGCGCTTGGCCTCCTTCTGGAATTGATTCAACAAATGATAAATATATCTACGATTCCTCTCCGCCAGAGGCAAAACAGTCTTCTCTGTTCACATTCTTGTTATACCTGAATGATGAGTTTGACGCTGGTGAGACGACTTATTTTCTTCCTAGCGCAAAAGAAGGCAGTATGAATGCATATTCAATAAAGCCCAGCCAAGGTAGTGTGGCAATGTTTCCACATGGTGAAACTGAAGGAAGTTTACTTCACGAGGGCACCGGTGTTAAAAAGGGCTCAAAGGCATCAGCCAAGTACGTCATTCGGACAGACGTTTTGTACGATGTCGACGTCAAATGAGATGATTCATCTATGTCAATTATATGATACCAAAATTAGGAGCTTAGTGGTTCCAAAAAAGTTTTGGCCACAGACTAGCACTAATGCTCTCCGGAACAATGTCAGTCAGATCCGGCCGCTCAAGTACTGAACGGGAGGTCGGACCGGGAGCAATGTAGTGGTTTGTGGGGAATTTATGCTAAAGTCAAATACTGTACTTGGCGAAGCATGCCCAGCCAATATAGATTAAGGCCATCTAACTATTTCATGCATCTAAAGTGTATATCTGCGGAAATTAGTCAATACATGTCCAGTTAATGGTGTAGCAATCACATTATATACCAATATCGCGTCTATTGCCAGAATAGCGTATAGTCTTCGTGTCATTAGCTACCGAGTTAAGTATGGTCACCTGGTGTCCAGTGAGCATTAAATGCCCTTGCCGGATTCCCGAATGAGGCACAACGGGTTCTGTCACCGACCCCAATTGCATGATCCATTGTTACATACTACATAGTGACCACGAATTCTCGATTGCACACATCGAAGTCATGAGTGCGAGCGTGAATATATATCAATGAGAAACAATTCCTCCCATCCACCATTCCGTACTTCTTAATATTCATCCGCTCTTGCATGTTTAATTTCAATACAGAACAAAATGCAGATTCTCTCTCTCGTCCTTCTAGCTCTAGCTACTCCCATCCGCACCACGGCCGGCGACGGAGACTGGGCTGCTGCCTACACCAAAGCTAAGACTTCGCTGGCTAAACTCACAAATGCGAATAAGGTTACGCTCGTCACGGGTGTGGGGTGGGAAAAGGGTCCTTGTGTGGGGAATACGGCTGCTATTCCTTCGATTGGTTGGCCGGCTTTTTGTTTGCAGGACGGTCCTTTGGGGTATGTACTCGTAGATTTATGCTGTGGTGTGTTTTTGGAGATGTGGAGATCAGTGATGATGAGTGATGATGATGATGTTGATGTTGACCTGATATGCGGATAGAGTTCGATTTGCTCAACATGTGACGGCGTTTCCGGCGGGGGTTACCACGGGGAGTACTTGGGATACGGGGTTGATGTATGCGAGGGGGTATGCTTTAGGTATGCTTGTATCATTTGATTTGTGGAAATTGGGGAATAAGATGGGGGATGAACTGAGGCTTACCTTATGTGATAGGTGCAGAAGCTAAAGCACTTGGTGTTCATAATCAGTTGGGCCCTGTGGCTGGACCTTTGGGGAAAATTCCAGTGGTTTGTAGCTCGCGAGGTTTTATGTGGGTTGTTTGGTATCATACTGATGATTGGAATAGGCAGGGAGGAACTGGGAAGGCTTTAGTAACGATCCATATCTTTCTGGTGTTGCGATGGCGAATGTAAGACTTATGTCCTGTCAATTCCATACTAATGAACAGACAAATTGGGCTGACATTTGGATCACAGACGGTAGAAGGTATGCAAGCAGCAGGTGTTCAAGCATGTGCCAAACATTATCGTAAGTGGGTTGGATATCCTTGTTGTTTGATTTAATCTCTAACTAGTTGTTGTAGTTGGCAATGAGCAGGAATTAAACAGGCAGACGATGAGTTCGAATATTGCCGATAGAGTTAACCATGAGGTTTGTGTCTTTAAACATTACCACCCCAGATTCGGAGTCATGCTTATAGATGATATAGTTGTATCTATGGCCTTTTGCCGAAGCCGTCAAAGCAAACGTTACATCAGTAATGTGTTCATACAATCGATTCAACAGCACATACGCTTGTGAAAATCAGGCCCTGCTTACCGGATTGTTGAAAAACGAGTTGGACTTTCAGGGTTATGTTGTTAGTGGTATGTACTATTCTCGAAGCATGAAGATATCACAGTACTAAGTAGAGAAAATGCTGACGAGTACATGTAGATTGGGCAGCTCAGAAGACTACAGTGGGTAGTGCGAACGCGGGCATGGATATGGCGATGCCGGGGGATAATTTCGGAGACAATAATTTCCTTTGGGGAACTGCTCTTCTCAATGCCGTAACTACGTAAGTCTCCCCGGATTATACCAACACATGCACCACGTTCGTAAACCTCTCTTGACAAACTCCCAGCGGCAAAGTCCCCCAAACTCGCCTCGACGACATGGCCGTTCGCATCCTCGCCGCCTGGTATTTTCTCGGTCAAGACACAAATTATCCTGCCGTAACTGGCTGGACTTCCTGGAACGGTGGTGTAGGCGGTCCCAACGTATCTTCAACCCACAGCACTGTTGCCCGAGCCGTTGCGCGCGATGGAATTGTTCTATTGAAAAACACCAATAATGCATTGCCGCTGAAAAAACCCGCCAGTTTGGCGCTGATAGGCCAGGATGCGATTGTGAATCCGGCGGGTGCGAATTCGTGTACGGATAGGGGGTGTGATACGGGGACGTTGGCTATGGTGGGTTGTGTGCTTTTGTTGTATTTGGTGCTACTGGTGATTTGAAGAAAAGCTAATTGTGACAAAGGGCTGGGGTTCGGGGGCTTGTGATTTCCCCTATTTGTCAGCGCCGTATGATGCGATTAAAGTAAAGGCCACGACAGATGGCACAACATTAACCATCTCGAATACAGATTCGATATCAAGTGGGGCTTCGGTAGCAAGGGCCGCTGCTACAGCCATTGTGTTCATTAATTCCGATGCTGGCGAGGGATATATAACTGTAAGTTATAAACCCCCAATTACTCCCCTCCACAGAACTAAAACCCACAGGTCGAAGGAGCAACAGGCGACCGAATAAACCTCGACCCCTGGCACTCCGGCAACGCGCTCGTCTCCGCCGTTGCTGCCGTAAACAAAAACACCATCGTAGTAATCCACAGCGTTGGCCCCCTAATCCTCGAATCGATCCTCGCCCTCCCTAACGTCATCGCCATAATCTGGGCTGGACTCCCCGGGCAAGAATCCGGCAACGCACTCGTAGATGTCCTCTACGGTTCTATATCCCCCAGCGGCAAACTCCCCTATACCATTGCCAAAACGCAAGCTGATTACGGCACCGCCATTGCCAATGGTGATGATAGTTATACCGAGGGTTTATTCATCGATTATCGACATTTCGACCAAGCTTCTATTGCTCCGCGTTATGAATTCGGGTTCGGCTTGACTTATACCACATTTTCATATTCCAACCTCGTGCTCTCGTCTATTTCCTCCCTCCCCGGAAGCAGCACGCTTGTTCCGGGCGGAAAATCACTTCTCTATGATACGGTCGCCAGCGTCTCAGTAACAATCACAAATAACGGGACGGTTGCCGCCGCAGAAGTAGCACAGCTGTACATTGGATTCCCAAGCACAGTTCCCAACACCCCCCCAAAACAACTTCGCGGGTTTCGAAAGATGACTTTAGTGGCGGGTGCGGCCAACACGGTAAATTTTGTGTTGCGGAGGAAAGATTTGAGCTTTTGGGATAGCGTGACTCAAAGCTGGGTATTACCCACGGGGAACTTTGCCGTGTTTGTGGGGGGTAGTAGTAGGGATATTAGATTGATAGGGACGCTATCTAGTAGTGGTGGTTCTTCGAGTACGAGCACGAGCTCAGGTCTAACTTCCTCTACTACGACTGTGCTAGTTCCGATCACGAGTTCGAGTGTTACGTCCAGTTCGAGCAGTATGAGTACGATAACCAGTACTACTTCGGCTCCTGGGCCTCAACAAACGCTATATGGACAATGTGGAGGAATAGGATATACGGGCCCGACGGTTTGTGCGGGTGGGACGTGTAGATATGCTAATGCTTATTATAGTAAGTTTTGTTTCTTGTTTTTTGATCCCTTATCCGATGTTGATTTCATTTCTCATTGTGCACTTGGTGCTATTTGTGCTCGTCTTCCTTTGCTGTGTGTTTCGCTGTGGGATTTTTTTGGGGTACCTTGGAGACTAATGAATGGATTGTTTCGCATGTAGGTCAATGTCTACCTTGAGTTTGTTTAGAAACAGAGCTTAGACTCTAGAGGAAATGGTGACGGATTTTGGGACGTAGAAGAGAAAACTTTGAGGAGGGAAGAGAGAAGAGGGAAGAGAGAAGAGGGAAGAGGGAAGAAGGAGGAAGGAAGAAGGGGTCCAAATAAGTTGTATATAGGAAAAACAAAGTAAAAAACTACAGGTGATTATGAATATAACTAGCATACAAAATACTATAAACGTTTGAGTAGTATGCATACATAATACTGAGTAAGTCACTATGAACTATACAATTTAATCTATCCAACACACTATACCATACCATACCAGAAACCAAACAAAGATCCAGTTCCTGTACTGAATAGCTACATACAACAAACAGCCTCGACAAAAACAAATCTTGTGTGGTGCTACTATTACTATTACTACACTACTCGTATGACTATTACATCATGTCCTATGTTTATTTACCCGAGTATAGTAAGTATCACGTATTAGTAGTATCTAATTATACTACTAGTAAAACTTAATATCTTATTACTGATACAATCCCATAATCCCATAATCTAATCGCACAATCCTTCCCATCACCATTTCCTTCCACCTCCTCTCTTCTCCCCATCTCCTCATTCGCTATATAATTTTGTTTTTGGGTTTTTCACTGAGCCTTCTGCTTCTTCATGCCCCTCCTCTCCCCTCCCAGGCCCTCCTCTCCCCCACTTTCTTCCTCATTCTCTCCCTCATTCTCTCATCCTCTCATTCTCTCATTCTCTCATTCTCTCACTACCCACTACCCACCACCCCTCCCTCATTCTCTCCCTCATTCTCTCATTACCCACTACCCACTACCCACTACCCCTCACTCATTTTCATTCATTCATTCATTCATGCGACAATCCACTCCAATCCACTCCAATATCCACTCCACTCCCATATTACACTTTCCGCTAAGCAAGTTACCTTTTTCTTTTCGCTTCTTTCCACTCCTCTCCACTCCTTTCCACTCCTTTCCACATCCACATTCATCCATCCATCCATCCATCCATCATCCTCACATCTATCTACAATCATTTCATTTCATTTCATTTCAATTCATTTCAATTCATCCATAAATTCATGCTATCATGCTATCAACCTATCAACCTATCATGCTATTTAGCTCATTGTCATCCTATCTTATCAAGCAACCAGTACCCATTTATCTACCCCATCCATCCCATCCATTCATCCCATCCCGCAGAACCCTGGTATATTGCCCCCGCCCCACCGATATTCGAACCCATCCTGATGACCATCTGATCTGACCCGACCATGCACAGCTATTACTCCTTAAGAAACCCCTTTCCCTCCCCTCCCATTCCATCCGAGTACATCCGAAGAAAAGAGAAGAAAACTCCTAAATGTATGATACAATCCCAATTCCCATCCCATCCCATCCCATCCCATCCTTCCCGTCCCCTACTCATGCCCCTTTTCCCTTTCCTTTTCCTTTCCCTTCCCCTTCCACTTCCCCTCTTCACCAACAAAAATAACCACATTAACTCCCCCCGCATACGCCTCTCGAACCGCACACCCCACACACGACCTCCCCAACACCGCCACCACCGCATTCAAGCCCCAATGACTACACCACGCCCTAGCCATACATTCATTATCGCCCACGCCCCACGCCTCAATCACCAGCACCGTATCCTTATCAACACCCTCCATAAGTTCATTAAACCTCCACTTTGCATCCTTCATATCATATCCTTCTTCCCACGAACCTTTGATGCCCATTTCTTTCGGATCTGGTGCCCAGCCTAGCTGCAGGTCTTCGTTTAAATTAGCACCTCCTACACCGCCCCAATTGTGTATATCGAGCAGCTGATCCAAACACGCAATTTTGTAAACGTAGTCGAAGAAAAGTGGATGTGGGCCATTAGAACAAGGGTACGCGGTGATGAACGAAACATCGTGAGCTAATCTCAACCAATGCGATTGTCCCTTCCTAGCAAAAACCACACAAGCATCATAATTAGGCGGTCTCTTTCCCACCTCGCTGCTTCTCCTTGGGGAGCCGCCGTCAAGCTGCTGGTGTGGTCTCGCTACCACGAATGACAGTCTCTCAATCCGAATATTGTCTACAGGTGGCGATTCCAAGTCTAGCTTGGGTAGCACAAATTCGCTGATGGGGTAGACGGGATCGCTGGGATCGGGTGGACCTAGAGGATCGGATCGAACGCGCATACTTAGGACGTCTGTCTTGGTGATGATTTGGGGGGTCATACGTTGACGAATTCGCAAGACCTGGGTGCGATCGATATCCGTAGAAGCGAGAGCTGGGCCAACCCAACCGGCAATCTCTTGACAGGTGGGCGCAAGAACTTTGCCAACAATGCAAGTAGATGCCCAATATGTACTACCTCTGTATTGGAAGCCCGAATTAGGATGCATATGTGTAAGACCGCCAAGGTCAGCACCTCCATCCTCGTCGCAGTCGATTAACGTGTTCATGAGAAGCCATGGTTGAGTTGGCCCTGGCAGGATTAGGCCAGTACAAAAGGACATGGCGTCTGCAGAACGATCTTCGAGAGGTGAAGCATCTGGATTTAGCTCTTTAAGAGCTTCATCTACCATGGCTAAATTAGGCCACTTCATAGCCCTCGAAAATTTGCGCAAGGCCTTGACTTGTGATCTCTTCCTTAAAAGACGAAATTTAACTGTAGTAATTAGTTTCTCTTTCTCGAAGAGCAGATTGAATTGTGCAAACTTACTTTGCTGAAGATCATCACTAGCCCTATACTTCTCGATTGTCATGCACTCTCTCCACTTCTTCGCAACAGCTAAATCCCAGGAGATCCATGGCGGCAACTGTGCTAACAACCTCTCCTTTGCTTCTTCCGAGTGATGCTTTGATTGAATCCTCAACTCCAGTTCTATACTCAACAGCAGTTGCTGAAAGAAAGCTCGATACCGTCCATGATCAGAATATGCCTCATCAGCAAAGAATTTAGCCACAACATGATTCTTAGGTTGACTAAAATCAATCCACTCACGTCTCGACAGCGCAATTATCAAATCCGCAATCTGTTTCTCCATTCCCTTTTTGGCGATAAACGATTTGTCGAGATCCTTGAGTAAAATCTTGTATAAATTCTTGTACAGCGTATCCTCACTCTCATCATCAATACCACCTTCCAAATATATCAATCGATCCAAGAGAGTTTGCAGATCCACATCTCTCAGAGTTTGAACGCTCGAATCCCGAAGTTCAATGGGAGCATGTGGATTGCCATTGATGCTGCACCAGTGATTCAACGTAATCGTGCCTCCCAGTGTACCATAAGCAAAAGCCATACTTGGTTGTTCGAGAGTCTCCCATGGACGATTTGTTTCGCCAGCTCCTTGCAATCGCATAGAATCCGCCATGAAAGCCCTACTAAAAACCTCCGCACGATCGCTCCCAGCTCCTCCATTCCCATTACAAGTCGCATACAGCGCAAAGTATTCATTCGAAGCGTGTGCGATCGATTCCATGGTTCCTTTGAAAACAGGTACTCCAGTAGCAATCAATTGCATCGCTTTTCCTTGTGTCAATTCGGCATCATGCGAATAACCAACTGGTGGCCAATCTGTCAATATTTTAACCTTAGGCGCTCTTACACCCTCTTCCGTGTATTTTGACGATCTACCTGTGCTAGGTCTTGCATGATGTGGCGATTGAGAGGTCGAGGTACTTGGCTTATTCGATTGATGTTTTTTCGGAGAAGCAGAAGGAGAATCGTCATCCGCGCGATGTCGATGATCTGTATGAGGCGAACGAGAGGTAGAGGTACTTAATTTGACCGAATGATGTCGTCGAGGATTTTCATCGTATTCGTGATCTCTGCCATCTCGATGTCGATGTCTTCTTGGAGAAATCGAACCATATCCGCCTTCACCCTCCCTATCCTCCCCATCCTCTCCATCTTTCGATCGTCTCTCTCGATTTGTCCTACTCCTCCGATATTTTCTTCGTTCTCTCCTCGGTCTCTGTTCAAGCTCCCCCTCAATTTCCTGCGCCAACTCTGATTCCTCCTCACTCTTCTTCTTGCCCTTGAGCAAACTGGCGATCTTATCCTTTACACCACCCATTGTGTATGTATCTCTCACTATTACTCTCACTCCTCCCTTATCAAATCATCAAATATCGAAGCTCCAATCTCCAAAACCTTAGATGGTCTCTTCTTCTCTCCTTCGCATTTAATCCTCTTCGTATTCCTCTTCGTATCCGTCCGTCTTCGTCTTCGTCTTCGTAATCAATATCCTCTCCAATATCTTCAAACTCACTCTCAATCTCTCCCTCCAGTCTTTTTCTTTCCTCTCATCAACAAATCCACAAACCCTCAAGTCCAAGTCCAAGTCCAACTTCAAATCCAAATCCAAATATTGTCTTATCTCACGTAACAATTCTCAATTCTCAATTCTCAATTCCCAGTCCTCAAAAGGTAGCCGTAAGCCGTAACAAAGCTGAATTTAAATTATTATTCAAATCACATATATATCAAACCAGGTCGCAAACCCAAACCCGAGAACACCCAAGTTCAAGTCATCAATCATACAGACAACCACACAAACCGATGCGGCAACTCCTGTTGACAAAACCACATCATAAACCTACACATACACATACACATACACATACACATACACATACACATATCCCTATATCAGATATCTATATCTACCCACCCAAAAATTTCAGTGGATGGATATTGCCATGACAAAAGTTAGACAAACAAGAAACAGATGAGACAGACAACCGAGTAGCCTTGCATCCCATCCGGCTATTCTATGGTAGATCCCAATTGACATATTACTACGTATTTTCTAAACTATTTACTATATATTTACTTTGCAACTGAGATAATAACTTGGTATACCGGTACATATTGTATAATCCTAAATATAAATCGATGTTTATCTACTATAGTATAGATTAAGTATTAATTATTATATAGAGCTATAGAGGGGCCATCTATGATTATACCAGTATTACTATATTTTTCTAATCTATTTACTATTTCCCTTTACTATTTACTATATACATTTCAATCGAGCTAACAGCTTGGTATATATATATAGACATATTATTATACTCGTACAGTCTTGAATCATGAAACCCAAGCTTAAGCCCGGAATATACAGCTAAGGATCCACTACCACAACCACTACCACTATCACTACAACTACCCCTCAATCATCCATCCCTCCATCCCTCCATCCATCCATCCATCCATCTACAGATCAATCTTGAAACTCTCCATAGTTCCATTACCCAACACCATATTCGATTGCTCCAGTCCACCCTCTCGGTATTTTTCCATAGCTTGTCGATACTATATACATATTAGTTAGCCATCACATCACATCACCTTCATTCTCAAGTTAACATTATACTGTATTGCGAAAACATACCTTGAAGAAGAAATTGAGGAACAAGGAGATCATGAGAGCAGCGCTGACAATCATGGGTCCAATCAAATTATCGAAGTCTTTGCCGCTCCTGGCCACTATCATCAGTCGCCGCGTGTAATGCATCCAGTAGCCCCAACATCCTGCAAAGATAGCAATGATAATATATGCAATCCCCATAGCTTCAGCGATATTATCCTCCCCTGCAGCTGTGTATAAGCTGACGGCAAGAGATCCCAATAATATGCATATATGTTGCCACTTCAAAAATGTACGTTCGTTGGCCAGCCAAACCTTGGGTTCAACTTGTAGAGGACCTGAATCCTTGATGTATTGGGTAGGTTTAGTGACGCCTGGAGGTAATTTAACACTTCTCGATCGTCGCGATTGGGCATAACGCGACAGGGAGAAGGATGGAAATATAGATGACAAGGTGCCATATCCACCTTGATTACTAGAAATCCCGGTTTCTTCTTCATCGTTTTCGGCATCTCCAGAAGCGGCAGGACCATCCAGATGGGATCTTTTTCCAGCTCTCTCCTCAGCCGACATTCTCTCCTGCATATACGACCTGCCCAAGGGCGAGCTAACAGCGGGTTTGAAACTTGCGCTTGCTTTATGAGAAGTTCCAAGAAAGCTACCAACTACGAGATCGTTCTCGGCCTGTTTTGCTTTCCGCGATTGATCTTCTTCAAATGCCGCTTGTGGATCTTTGAGAATTTCGCCCGTCAAGCTTCCATGCCATGAAGGATAGTCGTTGACATTATCTTCGAATAGAGATACAGCACCTTGAAGAAACTTCGAGAAACCTGGGGCTGCGTAGACAAGATGTGAACCCATCAAATCCTGGACCCATTGAGGTTGCTTCTTGGTTGCATCATCCTTAACCTTGATTTCCAACACCGCATATCCAAATCTCGATATTTCACCTGGATTTATGTTACTGAATGGATACGACATGTCACTACTGTCGATGTCGCCTCTATGCCAGCTCTTGGGATCTCTGCAAGGTCGGTCCTCGTCTATACAATCTTCCCGAATGAATGCCAATTGAGTATCGATAGATATCCTGACTTTATCGTCCAAAGGCTTTTGAAAGGCAGTCCGCGTGTAATTAGCTCGCAGCATTGGTTGGAGGCCATTCTCTTTGATAAGTGATTGGATGTCAATCACAGTTTGCTTAAACGCCTCGATTCTTGCTTCTGACTGTCCTTGTCGTTCCATCTTTTGTATGCTCTTCTCCATCTTGTATTCGCCCTTTATAAACGAATCGATATACTTTTCCTTGATCAAAAGCTTCTTTTCTTCGCTGGTACCATTTTCATGCACAATCTTCTTTTCGAAGTGAAGCTCTGGATTGTCCTTCAGTTGACCGTACCACCTTATGCGTAATGACGTAGCATCTTCCTTCTTCTCTCTCTTTTGGTCGTACAACGTGAATTCTGGACTATCGAGATAGAGGGAGTTAAGGGTCGGGTCGGCTTGGGGTTCGGGACTTTTCGAGGACGGTTCGCTATATACCACAGCTGGAAGTCGACGAAGAATATAGGTTTTGACTTCCAGAAGGTTGTCAGGGTGAACCCAAACTGCAAGATTAGCATAGGAATCCATCTGGGGTCTTGGCATTACTTACACTTATATGCAATATACTTCTCTGGCGTTTGTGATTGCGATTGAACATCAGAGGACGAAGTAGCGGTAGGATCCGAGCTGTCGTCCAGTTGTTGGCGAACAATAAAGTACATCATCGACAATTGATTGAGCAATGCCGAGTAGCCCTGTTCCGAATTGAAAGGCCTCTTCTGCAAGCTCATTTGTACCATCGGCCTGATCTTATAGTTGTTACCCCTCTTGCGATCATGTTTCTTGACAATCTTCAAGAATGCGGTATAATTGATGCTACTGTATTTCTTCAGTTCCTTGGTGTCGTTAATGATAGCATCAAGCTCCTCCTCGATCTTCTTGAATTTGGCGGTAGAAACATCTCCTTTCGAGTTTCCATCTTCTGGTGCGAGTTCTTTGAGCTTCTCTCCAATCGCATTGGCACGCTCCTCCAATCCCTTGAAAGTAGAAGCTTGGAAAGATGCTATCTTTTCGAGTTGAACGTTCAGGATCTCTTCGCAGAATTTCGTTTCGTCATCTGCGGACCATGGCCTGTCGTCCCCCTCAGATGCTGAGTCTTCTCGTAAAAGGTGTTTAAGCTTTGCATAATCGATATATTGACCTTTCCATGGCGCATATATCGATTTCTTCAATGTTTGACCAAAACGCATGGTTAAGGCGAATTGAATTTGGTTGTTGGTTGGATTGATGGGAAGACTGGAATTGAAGGTTGGAAAGATTTGTTGGTGTAAAGCTTGTCACAATGTGAAAGCTACTGGCATTAACTCTAAGTTCGGAGCTTAAAGAAACCTTGTTCAAATTCGCATATCCAAAAAACTACTATCTAGATAATAGATTATAAAAATTCAAATCAAATCAAATCAAATAAATACAAAATTTCATTATACTAATTAGTATTAGCAATCAAACACAATCAACTACTCAATGTAATAAATACAACAATATTCATCCGAATCATACAAATGAGAAAAAGTTCAATCCATCATCTTAAATTATAAATATCGACTCATGAACAAAACAACCTACCTACCTATACATACCTAGGTATACAAAATATGAATCTAGATGCATCATGCAAAACCTAGGAATAGGGGAATTTGAAGCTTGCAATTGTCGCATAGTAAAAGCTTGTCGCTTGCATAACGACCTCGGGAAGCCCCTCCTCCAAGTTCCAACACATACTCCACCCACGTGCATCAAAGGACTAATATGATTGATTACACAGTGCACAACCCCCATTTTTTGCCATCACAAATTCACAGTGACATCCAGGAACACAGGGGATCATTGAGCCGGAACTAGGGTTATGTCACTCACTATAACTATGAGCTTCCCGGTTCATTCATATTGACATGTAATGCATATGAAATATGAATCTAACTCCATCTAATCCCATCGCCACTCGAAAATGAAAAAAAGGTGGTAAGCGATGAGCTAGAGATATGATATCCGGTATTACTACTCGAGTACAGTATAATGATAGTACATATTTAGGTCTCATAAAGTATAATTTCACAATTAAACAATTAGACAATTCGACTTCATCTAATGTAAACTCTGCATTTCTTTCTCTGCTTGCTGCTTGCTCACTCTGCTCGCTCGCGGTACATCTATGTGCAATCAAAAGCAATTAAAGTGAAATTTAGACCACTCCAACTCCCACGCATCAATCATCCATCATCCATCATCATGAACCCCCCTTAAAGAAGCATTCGCACTCGCTGGTATCGTAAAAAAAAGCAATAATCCTCAAGAAGCCGTGTTGCAAAATATTCATGACCCACCGCCCCTCTCCCCATTTTCCTTCCATGAACAGTGCATATACGGTATCCGTCCATTATATTTTGGAATCCGAATCATGTCGTTATTCGTTTGATTTTCTCAGTAATGCCAGAAATATGCTTTTGATATGTCCATTCCAAAATAAAAATCTAAATATTCGTACCACTACATGGCAAGTGTCTTTGTAAATATGTTGAATTTTGATATTTTGTGTGTTTGCAAGTGTGTGGGTACGCTATTTCTTATGTCGCAGCTGCGATGACCTGGATAGAAGCGCGCTCAGCACGTCCTAAGACCTCACGTTGAGGACCTCGGGCTAGAATTTCGGCTGCGTTGCTCTTAACAATGCCACCAGTGACAGGTAAAGAGGTAGATCCCTCCAAAAAGCGATCGCACTCTCTAGCACATTGTCTACCTTCGTTGATACCCCTAAGTTTGTTAGTAAATGACATGAAAGTAGGGTTGCGGTTTATGACTTACCAAACGATAAGAGATTGTCCACGACGACAATCTCCTGCGGCAAAGATACCCTCAACATTGGTAGAGTACTTTCCAGGAGCTGTCTTGACGTTCTTTCTGCCATCCTTCTCAATGTCATCGCCAAGGACCCGGTCCTCAGGTCCAAGGAAACCCATAGACAAGAGGACAAGGTCAGCTGGGAAGAATTGCTGGGATCCTTCGATTTTCTTCATGTCCCAACCGCCAGTGGAAGACTTGGTCCATTCGACACGGATAGTGCTGATACCCTTGACCTTTCCAGTTCCATCATCAACGAACTCTTCAGACATAACACAATATTCACGAGGATCCTTGCCCATGTGTTGCTTAACTTCAGTGTGTCCGTAGTCCACACGGTAGACTCGTGGCCATTGTGGCCATGGGTTGTCGCGGGCACGCTCATTCGGTGGCTGAGGTAAAAGCTCGAAGTTTGTGACTGACTTGGCACCGTGTCTAACGGAAGTCCCAATGCAATCATTTCCAGTATCACCACCACCAATGACAACGACATGCTTATCCTTTGCGGAGATATATTCATCATCAGCAAGCTCGGAGTCGAGCAGGGACTTGGTATTGCGGTGCAAGAACTGCATGGCGAAATGAATGCCCTCAAGGCTTCGATTCTTGATTGGGAGATCACGGGCAACAGTGGCTCCGGTAGCAATCACTACAGCGTCATTTTCAGTCTTGAGGTCCATAAGTTGAACATCCTGGCCAACTGCAACGTTAGTTTTGAAGGTGATGCCTTCGGCAGCCATGAAATCTGTACGACGCTTGACAATCTTCTTGTCAAGCTTCATGTTTGGAATCCCGTACATTAGTAAACCTCCAGCACGATCAGCACGTTCGTAGACAGTGACTTTGTGGCCAGCCTTGTTGAGTTGATCGGCGCAAGCCAGACCAGCTGGTCCAGAACCAATGACGGCAACAGTCTTCCCAGTACGGACCTTTGGTTCCTGTGGAATCATCCAACCCATGTCGAATCCACGGTCAATGATGGCACATTCGATGGACTTGATTCCAACAGGATCTTCGTTGATGCCAAGAACACATGCACCCTCACAAGGAGCGGGACATACACGACCAGTGAATTCCGGAAAATTGTTTGTCTAGATTAGGATTTTATTAGTAAACCGAAATGGGAGCTTACTACTGTGATCGAAACTTACCATGAGAAGACGGTTAAGAGCATCTCTCCATTGGTTCGCGAAGACCAATTCGTTCCACTTGGGAATGATGTTGGAGATTGGGCAACCCGAGTCGGATTGACAGAAGGGAACACCACAGTCCATGCAACGAGCTGCTTGGTATTTGAGTTCATCTTCGTCAAGACGCTTGGAAAGTTCAGCCCAATCGCGAGTTCTAGTTTTGGCTGAGCGGTATTTCTCAGATCGACGTTGATACTTCATGAAACCCTTAGTTTTGTCCAAAACCAAGGATCTCTTCTTTTCAGCGGCGGAATCGCCAATAGTTTCCTCGATATCCTGAAGATCAGATGGTTTCTTGTTCTCCTTTTGGTTCTTCTCATGAAGTCCATGGACTGGGTTTCCTGGGAGAAATGGCAAAGGGTATCTTGCCTTCTTGGCTTCAGCAGCTTTCTTGGCTTCTTCTTGTAGGACACGCTTGTAGTCAACAGGCAAGACCTTGACAAATCTACGTAGTGCTCTGTTGAAGTCAAGAAGAATACGGGCAGCAAGCTCGGAGCCAGTGTAATGGTGGTGATCTTCGATCAAGCTTCGAACGAACGCAATCTCAGCTGGGTCATCAATGCCTGAAGCTTCAACCATCTCTGTGTTTAACTTGGACATGAAATCTTGCTGAATATCGAGGATGTAAGCAATACCACCAGACATACCGGCAGCAAAGTTGCGTCCAGTTGAACCTAAGATGAGAACACGGCCACCAGTCATGTACTCGCAACCATGGTCACCAACACCCTCAACTACTGCCGTGGCTCCGGAATTTCGGACAGCGAATCTCTCGGCGGCAACACCGCGGAAGAAGACAGTTCCACTGGTCGCACCGTAAAGACAGACGTTACCAACGATGACGTTTTCTTCGGCTTTAAAGACTGCAGAGCGGGGTGGATAGACGATCAGGCGACCACCGGAAAGACCCTTTCCTACATAGTCATTTGCGTCACCTTCGAGCTCTAGGGTAACACCAGGAGCAAGGAATGCACCAAAAGATTGACCAGCAGATCCCTTGATATTGACATGGACGGTATCCATAGGCAATCCATCCTCACCATATCTCTTAGAAATTTGATATGACAAAGAGGTACCCATAGCACGATCAGTATTAACAATGTCGCACTCAATTCGGGACGGCAGACCCTTATCAAGAGTCAACTCTGCCTCGGAAATCAACTTGTTATCAAGGCGGACGTAAAGTCGGTGATCCTGTTTGCGGACATTGAAGGTAGCAACTCCTGGTCTGAGCTTATGAGCAGGAGTAAGAATGAGAGAGAGATCAATATTGCTAGTCTTCTTCGTGCGAAGATCATCCCGAACTCTTAAACATTCGGCATGTCCAACCATCTCATTGATTGTCCTGAAACCAAGCTTTGCCATAATGGCTCTAAGCTCGTTGGCGATATAGTAGAAGCTGCAAAATCAGGGAGTTAGTAATTGCTTATCGAGGAAGGCCTCGTAAGTACCCGAGGAAGGAATTCTGCATCAGGAAGTGAAAGGACACAGAAGATGAAACATGAAATTTACATGGAGTGGGGGGGAGGGTGTGCAATATGCAGGGACCGGTTGTACTTACAAATTGATGACATGCTCTGGAGTACCTGTGAACTTCTTGCGTAGGAGGGGATCCTGAGTGGCTAGAACAAGTCAGTTCAGTCAATCAAATATCGACTTTCGGGCTGAACTTACCTATACCGACCGGGCAGGTGTTCAAGTGACCTAAAGGTATTAGCAAACGCATGGGAGTATATGCCAAACTCATTACTCACATTTTCTCATCATTATGCAGCCCATGGCAATCAGAGGAGTGGTAGCAAACCCCCACTCTTCCGCACCAAGCAGACATGCAATGGCAACATCACGACCAGTTCGAAGCTGGCCATCAGTTTGAACAACGACACGACCACGGAGATCGTTCAAAACCAAAGTTTGATGGGTTTCAGCAAGACCAAGTTCCCAGGGCAGACCTGCGTACTTGATACCAGTCCATCGAGAAGCACCAGTTCCACCGTCGTGTCCAGAAATCAAGATGTGATCAGCCTTTGCTTTGGCAACACCAGAAGCGACAATACCCACACCGGTCTCTGACACGAGCTTGACAGATACTCGCGCGCGAGGATTGGCACACTTGAGATCATAAATCAATTGTTTCAAATCTTCGATGGAGTAAATATCGTGATGAGGAGGTGGGGAAATAAGACCAACACCAGGAGTCGAATGACGAGTTCTGGCAATGGACTGTGACACTTTGTGGCCGGGAAGCTCGCCACCTTCTCCAGGCTTAGCACCTTGGGCCATCTTAATTTGAATCTCATCTGAGTCAGCGAGATAATTAGAGGTGACACCAAATCGTCCAGATGCGACTTGCTTAATAGCTGATCTCATTGTATCACCGTTTGACATGACTTCAGAACGTTCTGGGTCTTCACCACCTTCACCTGTGTTGGACTTGCCCCCGAGACGGTTCATCGCAACAGCAAGAGTAGAATGTGATTCCATTGAAATGGAACCGTATGACATGGCACCAGTGCAGAATCTCCTAACAATCTCCGTCCATGGCTCGACTTGGTCAATTGGAACTGGATTGCTTTCCTCGAAATTGAAGTCGAGGAGGCCTCGCAATGTGCACGATTTTATTTGCTCATACTCGGAGAGTGAGTATGCCTCATATGACTTATCGTTCTTGGTTCTAACGGCATCTTGAATGTTGGCAATGGAGGTAGGATCGTTAATGTGAGGCTCACCACCATCACGCCAATGATACTCGCCAGATTCGACAAGACCCGGAATGGTGACAGTGTATCGTGATGGGAAACCTTTCTCGTGGAATCTAAAAGCATCTTCGGCAATTTGCTCAAAGGTTATACCCTTGATTCTTGTGGCAGTACCCTTGAAGCAGCGGTCTACAACAGAATCGTCAACGCCAAGAGCCTCGAAAATTTGAGCTCCCTTGTAACTAGCAAGTGTAGAGATACCCATTTTACTCATAACCTTAAGAATACCACCATCGGCAGAGTACTTGTAATTACGGACGAGTTGCTCATCACTGAGCTTCTTTCTGATCAAACCTTCACGGTTGAGCTTGATGATACACTCCATTGCAAGATATGGATTGACGGCATCCACACCATATCCGACAAGCACACACATATGGTGAACCTCACGAGCTTCAGCAGTTTCGACTACCAAAGCAGCATGTGATCGCCACTTGTTGTTAACAAGGTGATGGTGAACCATCCCAGAAGCGAGAAGAGTAGATACTGAAATTCGGTCCGCAGATGTTGCACGGTCGGACAGAATAATTATTGGATCCTTGTTTTCGATGGCAGCGGTGGCTTGCTCGCAAATGTAATCCAAATGTTTAAGGTATCCTTCGACACCTTCGGATCTTGGGAATGTCAAGTCAATGACCTTGGATGTCCATTTTGGATAGAACTTGTTGATATTTTTGAGAGCATTGAACTCGGGAATGGAGAGAATAGGTGTCGGGAGCAGCAACCTGCCGCACTGTGATGACTCCATTCCTAACAAGTTTCCTTGAGGGCCAACGTAGCATTCAAGGGACATGACGATAGCTTCTCTGATAGGATCAATGGGAGGATTGGTAACTTGGGCGAAAAGTTGACGGAAGTACTCGTATAATAGACGAGGGGCATTGGAAAGACATGCGAGAGGTGCGTCGTTACCCATGGAGCCAAGTGCCTCCTTTTCGTCAGTAGCCATTGGTGCAAGAACCAAGGAAACTTGCTCGAAAGTATACCCGAAAGCCTTCAAGAGAGCATCCTCCTGGATAGTACTATCATCAGGCTTTGGGGCCAAGTCGACTATACCTTGAGTTATCAATTTTTCATGAACCTTGGGTAAGCTGACGAGCTCCTTATGAAGCCAAGATCGGAAATCGTGTCGTTTAGCGACAGTGTTCTTCAATTCGGCATCGTCAATGATGCGCCCTGCGACGGTGTCTACGAGAAGCATCTTTCCTGGCTGCAGACGACCCTTGAGAATAACACGCTCTGGATCCACTTGAATAGTACCGACTTCAGACGCACAAATAATTCTGTCATCATCCATGACATAGTATCTACATGGCCGAAGACCGTTTCTGTCAAGATTCGCACCGCAGTATCTGCCATCCGCGAAGGTGAAAAGTGCCGGTCCATCCCAAGGTTCCATTTGGCAAGCTGCCCACTCATAGAAAGCAGCCTTCGCTGGATCCATTGCGGCGTTTTCTTGCCACGCTTCTGGCACCATCAGCATGACAGCCTCAGGTAGAGAAAGGACTCCATTGATGGTGAGTAACTCGAGAACATTGTCAAATGCAGCCGAGTCAGAGCCTCCATCTTCAACGATAGGGTACAGCGATTCGAGCTCTTCGCCAAAAACATCGGATTGCATCACACCTTCTCGCGCACGCATCCAGTTCTTGTTTCCTCGGAGGGTGTTGATTTCACCTGATTTTACAGTTAGTATTAGGGCTAGATTGGGCAATTTACAAGTGCCATACCATTGTGAGCTGCCCATCGTAATGGTTGAGCACGATCCCATGATGGGAAAGTATTTGTAGAGAAACGTGAATGCACAAGAGCAAAATGGGCTTCGTAATCAGCGTTCACCAGATCATAGAAATACTGATAAACCTGTACAGGGGCGAGTTGTCCTTTATAGACAATGTTTTTGTTAGACAGGGAGCACAAATAGAACCAATTGTGTAAACCAATGGTATGGGTTGCACGCTTTCGGAGTACATAAAGCTGTCTCTCGAAATGTTTCTCATCAAATTTCTCAGGGTCGGTAGTTTCTGGCGAGTTTCCAGGGCCATATGCAGATGCTAGCACTACGAACGGCTGCAATATGATAGGCTCACGAGATGCAGCAGCAGGACCAAGGAGAGTAGAATCTTTAGGAGGCTCTCGCCAGCCCAGTACTCTCAATCCCAGTGACTCTGAGATCTCTTCCAATTGTTTCTTTGATTCTTGTAGAGTTTCCTCATCTGGTTTAAAGAAGAGATTGCCCACAGCATATTGACCCAACGGTGGGAGCTTAATATCCGTCTCGCGCTCGAAGTTTTTGATAAAGAATTTGTGAGGAATGGATGTCATAACACCAGCACCGTCTCCGTCTCTCGAATCAGAACCCACAGCACCCCGATGGGTCATGTTACAAAGCAGGTTTCGTGCTAGAAGTGGAAAGGTTAGTCAATATGTACTCCCAACGAATTATAAGGAGCCTACCATCGCTGACGATTTTGTGGCTGGGTTTGCCTTTAATGTTACTATATTGAGGTTAGATACGTCCCGAATGTGCCGATTCACAATTCTCACCAAGCAAAACCAACACCGCAGGCATCCTTCTCCAAGCTAGGATCATATAAACCCCTATTTTATAATCAGTCATATTCGGTAGCAGATTCTACAGAGGGTGCCACTCACTGCTTTACTGGGAGTGCTCCTGCCCATGAACTATTTCCCTCAGCCTCATATTGATATTGATTGTAGGGCACATTTTTGGCATCAATCTCAGTTTGTCTGTCGTTAAAATCTTCCGCCCTTCCAATGCTGCCCATCGTAGGCAAGGCAGCCGGCGATTTTTGGATCGATTGTGTTTTGATATTGAGAGCGCAGCTCCGTTCTTCTTTATTGATTTGTGTATGAGGCGTAACAAGGGTTTTGAGATCGTGCAAAGTAATGTTTTCTAAATCTCGAAGAGGAAATCAGCTCAAAGTATGGAAATTGGTAGTTGGTAGAAACAAAGAACTGTGGTTTTCTGAGTTAAGCTTGTTGAAGTTGGTGCGGAGTGAATTTTGATGTGTCCAACACTTGATTGACTTAGCGCAGAAGGTATGTAAGGTAACTTCCTTCTTGTCGGGTTGCGGCAAAGATTTCTTTTTAATCTAATCCTCCGAAACTAAACACTCGCACCGTCGTGATACAATACTGATAGATAGGAAGAATCGAGTTCTTATGGATGGAATCAATCGCCACCTCCAAATATTTTTGGTAATAATTGAAGTACAATAGTGGGCAGTGTTTTCAGATAAGAGGAGGGGTACAAAAGAGATATTTTACATACGTGAATGAGCTTATTGCTTTCAAGAGTTTCGAATGTTTTGCCACAACGACAACTGCACGAAGACCAAGAGTAGAATCAAGTACAGTTTTAGAAGGAGGAAGGCTTTTATTTGTGTTGTGTTGTAGGAAGGATACTATCTGAGAGTGAGAGAGGGAGAGGTGGAGAATAAATATCCAGCGCGAATCGGAGTAGGCTGTCCGAATTGTCCAATCCCACCGATAACGCGGCTGCTTTCAATTTTATTTTTCTTTACTCACTTATTCATTCATTTGTTCATTATTCATTCGATCATTTATTAGATTTTTCGGTTTTCTGTACCTACTCGAGTAGAGGGCTAGAGGAACCTAACAGAAAAGAAAGGTATGTGCCACTTGGAACTGTTTTATTACAGATCTTTACGCCGTGGGAACTACCGGGTACTCGTGTTCATTGTAATATATTTACTTACCTAGGTAGGCTGTGTTCGTCTTTCTTACTTCATACAATCACTTAAATCCTGTATCTTGGGTACTTTACTCATATATCTTGTTCTTGTTTAAACGTACCGGTACATATATACATTAAGCTGTGCTCCCACTTCTATGGATGGAACAGCCCATACGTTTATTTCCCCCACACTCCATGCGTTTGCAAGGTCAAGGATCATTGTGTGAGAACTGGCCAGTTTACAAGCTTCATGGATCCAAATCACAATATATTCTGCCCGATGTCGCTCCAGTGAAGTTCGGTCAATATGTAAGAGAGATTAGTATATTAGACATATCATTGGATCAGAAGCATCATCCATTGATAACCCGGTATTTTAACATTTAAAAAAAACAACCGTACCAGGATATCCTTGAGAAAGACAATGATAATTGGGAACGACTTGGGGTGACAAAATATCGATTTTTGAATTGTTTTCCATTGGTTGTGGCAGCAAGGGTCCCCGCATTGCAAAATATTTTACACACAGCAACATGAACATCTAGAGATCCGACCAATAGTGAGCTTCAGATAGCCAGATTACCATTGAGATTGATTGAGTGAGGGGTATATCTCCCCGCCCCTGTTCATACAGCTACGAAGAATTACAGGTGCATATACTCCGTAGAGTCGTAGAAAAGCAAGCCTGGCGTTTTCTTCATATGAGCTTGAGGACATGTGTAACGTTTGATGAGATGAAATCTACATATACAAAAAGGGAAAGAAAAAGGCGATATAAAAGACTGGCCGGATCCGAGACATTGTTAAAAGCAATCAAATACGAGAAAACTTTCCCTTCGAAGTTCGATCGCCATCAGTGGGAGACGGCGGTCAGCCGGAGTATGGCGACTGTTTGTCGGAACAACATTGCTTAGTGTTTCCCTCACATTTTCGGAAGAGACCGGGGAATCGAGACGAGGCTAGGATATGATGATGAACATGGAGAATTTCTTATGCAGAACAGGGGGCTGGGAAATAGAACAATACAATAGCAACTTAGTTCGGATAATCTGCTGTAGCATGACTTGGTACACTTGATCAAGAAAGCTTCGAAAAGGTGAATAATAAGACCAACAGGAGCACAGAGTTGAAAAATCAGAAACTAAATCGATACTTTCCGTTTTGTGGGATTGCATTGCGGGTAAAATAACCAGAAAGAGTGAACAAGTGAACATGAATCTTCGAGGGACCAACAGAAAGAAGGTACAAAGTAGGACATGTAAGACTTTTATGAATGTATGGCTGGATCAAGTAAATGAAAGCACGACTACCGGTATGTCTCTTTTATGTGGTCATGGGACGAGAGGAGAGCATCAACGTCGACACAATCAAGGATTTGCGAGAATTCATCGCGACGAGGCTGAACTCGTAAGGCTGACTAAATTAGCGGCTTAGGCTTCTAGTAAAAGAGGCTCTCGACAACAATTCCATAAACATCAACAATCTATCTCCAAAGTACAAGATTCCTATAAGAAACATCTTTCATCGTTAGGAGATCATTTGCCAAAGTACGGAAGCATCATAACAATGTTTTCCCTTCCAAATCTTGCCCCGACCGACGTGCGTACATGGTTCCATCCGCAATGTTTACATGAATTTTATAGCTAATCCACGTCTCACAGTCCTACAATCTCTGGTACACATCATCTCAAAACAATCCTCCACAGCACATTGAGCCTACAGGGAACTCGTTTGATCATTCCGCTCCACATATTACATCAAACCAAAATCATAACTCACGTCGCCAACAAGTCAGTAATAGAACCCCTCTAGCCCGACTGCGCTTGGATGAAGAATACATTGAGAGGAGGAAACTAAATGTTCAAAACTGGGGAAGCTCTTGGATTAAACCTCCTGGGGTATCAAAATCATTGCATCAATTAAGGGAGGAAAAAAGAGAAATGGAAGAACATCAAGAAGCCTTGAGACGAGAACAATTGGCACAAGAACTTGCCGAAGCGGAAGAAGCGGAAACTGAGGCGATGATACCGGGTGATGATATAGAAGGCGAGATGGACGGTATGGTAGATCTTGACGATGAAATACCCGATGCGGATGAAACTGGAATGGGACCCAGTGACTCGGAAGAAGCTAGTGAGGAAGATGAAGATGAAGATGAAGATGAAGAAAATGATCTTGAGGATGTCCCTAGAGGAGTCCTAGTCTCCCGCATGCCAGATGAAGAATACAGGTCAGCCCTAATACGCGGCGGACAGCCCAGAGGGTCAATGTTTGAAGACGACGGCGGCTCCACAATTGCCGACGAGGATCAATCGCAAATGCTACAAGAGGAAGATCTAATCCATGAGTACGAAGACGATGACCGTGGCGGAGAAATGGAGGTGGATCTTGACGATGACATACCTGAAGCCGACGAAAGATACGAACATACCGATACAGAAGATGGATTTGATAGCAGCGAGGAAGAAAGTGAAGCTGAAAGCCTCCCGAGTGGAAATCAACATGCAGGTCATGGTGCAAGTTTGGTTAGGAGTGATGGCACTCAAAACTCGTTGGATCTTTCAAATCTTATATCGCACGATAGTAGCGTGTTATATAGTAGTCCTCGAGGAGCAAGATGATGCCATGCACAATTCATGAATGGCTATGATTACAATTCCCCGGAGGTAGGCCCCAAGTCTAGAGGATGAAGAGCATCATCATTCGCAGAGTGTTATGTATGATCAGGGATAAAGCACCGAGGATGTCAGTGATTCAGCATCGAACTGTCAAATCAGTTCGCCCAGGCTTGAGGGCTACAGTAATGTGGCATTACCAAGGGTGGTTACATACAATGCCTTCTTTGATAAATAGAGTCACAATTGTGTGCTGACTCAGGAAGGAGCAGGTCATTAAATAGTCCATGGACTCGGGTGTACATAGCTAGTTGTGCAGACCAGGCAGGCAACAAACAGTCTCTATCCACCCCCGAGGAATAATAGAGTACTGAGAGGGTAGCTAGCTATAGCTGCGGAGTTTTGCGCCCAATATCTTTCGTTTTTTTGATACCCGAATATCGTTTTATTCTTATTAGTAATGGATTATCTCATATGATATTGATCATATCGTTGCACTCTCTCTCGTAATCATATTCGAAATCGTGATATCGATACTCGATACTCGAGTAGAAGTATGCAATGTCTAAACTAAAATAGAAGCCCTTTCTTCCCTGATTTCGGTGTTGAGATATCTTGGTCTGCTTGCTTCTTTTCTTGTCTTATCTTGTCTCGACGTTATTAGGCAGTCAACTATCACTTGAATACCTTTCCTTTCCTTTCTTTTCCTCTCCTTTCCTGCAACCTTCTTCAACCTCAACCTCCTCACAAATAGGTAACCAAACTCAACTCACCCACTCACTGACTAGCTAGCAAACCCCAAGCATCAACTAACTATAAGCCCCTACCTATCCTTCATATCCTCCTTCCATATCCTTTTCCTACGTCCTCCCCCCACATCCTCCTCTCGCATCTTACATCTTGCATCTTAAATCTCGCATCCCCTATTACCAAATCACAAACCACAAACTACAAACTACAAAATTTATTTCAATCTTTATCTCAATCTCAATCTCAACCTCAACCTCAACCTCAACCTCAACCTCAACCTTAACCTCACCACATTATACTTATTACTCGAGTATATCACATCACATCACATCACATCATATCATATTACATCACCATATAAAACCCAGCATATTTAAAACACATCACACATCACACTTCAAAAATCAAAACTGATATTGATAATAAGAATAGTATTATTTTGTATATATATATACACATTAACCCCCTTCTCCTCTCCTCTCTCTCTCTCTCCTCTCCCAAGTACACCTACACACCTAAACACCTACCTGCGAGCCAACTACCAACTACCAACCACCAACTATCAACTAAACAAGAAATGTCTTAAATATAAGTGCTAATACATACATATACTAATACCAATACTAGTTCTAATACTAATTCTAATATTAATACCAATACCAATACCAGCACTACAACACAACACATCATAAAATACCCACCTACCTACCTACCTATCTACCTATCTACCTATCTACCTAGTCATACACATACACATACTCATACAAACAACAAAGATACCGTACAGTACCAATCTCAATTCCCTAAACACCATTCATTGTATACTCGAATTGTTTGTCACAACATTATAACATTAGATTAGATTAAATTGTATCTATCTAACCTTTCATATTATAAAACACTCTTATGTCGCACATGATCAATGCACGACAACAAACTTTTTTTTTGAAAATTCACGTGCAATACCGCATTCAATCTTCAATATTAATACACTTCTCATACTAATCGATAAAATGAAATCTGAAAAAATAATATTCAAAAATATCATTCAATATTTATAATTATCAAATTAACAAGCCTCCAAAAGACAAACTGCAATGTAGAAATCGAGGTGCCCTGAAAAACGATTCGAAGAACGCAGCGAGGCGAATTATTTTTCCGGTACCGAGGGGCCGAAGTCAAAGCTCGTTATATTATATTATATTATATTATCCCATACCATACTATCCCATATCATGCCATACTATACTATACTCAATTTAGGCCGTTATGTTATGTTATCATGAATGAATACTGTACCTAGTACAAGTACGAGTAGTAGGAGTAGTAGGAGAGAGTACTGTATGTAGCTTTCTTTGCATTGTTGTATTGTGTTGTGTTGTATTGTGATGTATTGTGTAGATACTATGCTATGATGTGATGTTCTTCCGTTTCTTCCGTATCGTATCGTATCGTATCGTATCGTCTTGAATTGTGTCTTTGCGGTTGTGATTGTGGTTGCGATTATGGCTGTGGTTGTAATTGTGATTATGATTGTGGTCGAATAGTGTATTACGTGAGTTGGTATTTGTACAAAGCGTCTCCTCCCCCTTACCTCTATTCTCTCATCTCATCTCTCTCCCCCTCCTTCCTCACCCATTCCCATCTTTCCATTCCATTCCACTCCTCTCCTCATCAAAAAAACCCAAACCCAAAAGAAAAGCCCCCCCACCGCCGCAAAAAACAACAACCAGATCTTCCAACTCACCCCCGTCTTCTGACTCATGATCAACATTCGATTCATCGTTCCTCGAATGCGTACCCTTGCGCCTTCAAAATTATCGTTCATTTTCTCGGCCAGGGCTGAAGAGTCGCGGATTTCGTCGCCGATGGCTATCGTCATCTGTTTGGGGGGGGGAGTGTCAGTGCTGTATAATATAGAGGAGAATGAGAAGAGAGAACATACGGTTTTCAGTTGCCGAACCTTCCCCATAATTCCCTCGACCTGATCGTCATTCTGACTCTCGAGCTCGTTGAGTACCGCATCGCTATACTGGCCTCTGAAATATGACTTGCGTTAGCATATGTTATGTTATGCTATGCTATGCGCAAGAAAGATAGACCGAAACGCATGATTTCTCCTTGACGTAAAGATACACTTGCATGCATCCTCCACCTTTCCCCCTTCTCTTACCTCCCTTCTCCTATCCTCTCGATACTCCCCAAGAGCAGCACATGACGCATTATGTAACATACCTAGTATTCGGCGTCGCCGATCTAAACCCCGCACCACTTGCACTTCTATCCTCCACCTCCCTCTCCCCATACCCCCCTCCTCTCCCATCATAACCCCCTACTCCCCCTCCACCCCCCGTATATCCATACCCCCTCGGCGCCGGACTTGCCCCTCGACTCCCACTCCCACTCCCACTCGCACCGCCATTCCTCCCCTGCCCCCCAGCACTCAAACTCGGCCCTCCATTATAATTTTCAAAAAGCGTACTGCGCGGATCGCGTTGGTGGAGGGAAGATGCGCCGAATCTATTTTCATCCAATATGCATATTAATAACGATTTGTATATCAAGCCAATTCATTGCAAGCTGCAGACGGAATCGCATATGGAATTGGTCATGCGCCGAGAACATGCAAATGCAAGCGCTCAAAATACCCATTCATCCTCATATTCCTTCCTCCCTCATGAACAAACTAAGCCCCCAACCCAAACTGACGCAAACCAAACCAAACCAAATGAAATGAAATGCGCAAACCTAGCAAATTCCAAATAGAAAAACATCAAAACAAACAGAACCTCACATACCTATTCGCCATTCTTATTCCTCAAATAATATTATTTATGTATGTAGGTATGTGGAGGAGAATCGAAGTACAAGCAAGGTAAGATATGATGCTATAATGCCTTTGTTACAATCGGGATATGTGTTCGCTTGTCAACGGATGTTGTTACAACCAGTCATCGGTCAGAAGTCCAATTTTGGGTGTTTCGAAGCACTGTGCGAAGTGAAAGCTCAAAAGTGAGGTCTAGATGTCAGGGCGGAATTAATAAAGTAGTGGTATTGTGGTACAGAGGGAGAGTATGGAATATGGAGGAGTGTGGATCGATCCAGGAATTTTGGAAATTTTTGGTATGATCCTAGTGAATTCAAATGTGATCCTGGGCGTTCTTTATCTTCATGATTTCCAGTCTGTGCAGAAAAGATTACAGGTATAAAAGGGTATCGTTTGTTTGTTTCGTTTACTTTTCATACAAGAGAGTTGCCTTGGGTCTGAGGATTTTGGATGGAAGCAACGTGCAATATGGACGCCCCTTTTGTCTGGTATCTAGAAGTACACATGTGCCTTTGCAGAAAAGCCTCTCTCCCCTCCAGTTCTCCTAATGTCCCAAATCAATCGTATGCCTAGAGTCGTAATGTATGAATAGGAAATTTTTGCTTTTTTGCCGAATAAAATGAAAGATGCAGTGTATTTGAGTGTGAGTGTGAATGCGATGTAGAAGGTATTGAGGTCCGGCGAGGTTGAACCAACTGTCGAATGAATCGGATTTCACCAATTCTATCAAGGTGCGATCATGGTTATCCCTTAGTTTCCTGCCATCTCATCATCATCCTCTCCCTCGGATTGAAAGTCTTCGTCTTCGTCCTCATCATCTTCAACTGGAAGTTCCTTGGCAGCTGCGGCGAAGTCGATTTGCTTGCCACGAGTACGACGACCTTGAATAATGTTGCTCTTATCGATTTCGTTGTCTGAAACTTCTTCCTCGACTTCTTCGGCTATGTTTATTATTAATTGATGCTCAACTAGTGATGGTATCAAGTCTCAAGTTCTTGAGTTCTTACCTGGTGGTGGAGCATCCTAAGTGAGAATTGTTAGTATGAAATAGCTTAGTATGCTCTGGGGCATAACTTACATCATCAACTTCCTCTTCACTGGAGCTATCCTCGCCGCCCTCGCCCATGGTCACATCTTGAGGCTCAGCAACACTCTTGCCTTTACCTTTATCGGCATTGGTCGCAGAACCTGTTTGTGCAGACATATTGACGAAAGTTTGGGCAGTTATAATTTTAATTATTGTGTTGAAGTTGTTGAAGTTGACAAAGTTGACAAAATTGATAAAGATCAAAAACAGCGACAGGAAACTTGAGGAAAGTAACTTGTGAATGGCACGGGCCGCCTGGCTGTCACCGCCCGCCTTACAAACAAATAATCTTTGGGGAAAGCGCGTTTGGCTCGCGAGAAGTTGGCGCTAAATTAGCACCAAGAGTGACTTATCGGGATATTTACTTTAGGGACACGGCCGCTTGACAAGGTTTCCCGAGTGTCTAGCCCAGGGTAAAGAATAACAATAATAAGGTTACCAGTAGTAACCAACTTTTTGCAATCAATTTGAAGATTGAGAAAAAATTCAACATTTGAAATATGCCTGGTAAGAGCTAATATTTTTGTATTACATGGTTCGGGTTGAACCCCGCGTTGCAAGGGTACACAAACGATGAGGGGCTAACATATCTTATTTAGATTCATCGTCAGAGCATAATCATTTGAAAAGTCCCTCTTCTCCCCGGGTATCTTCTAAACTGGCGATCTTCAATATGCTCGAAACGGATAGTGATGTAGAAGAGGGGGGGTATGGTGAGGACTTGGACGGTTTGGTGGAAGAACCAAGTGATATGCTTCCAGAAGCAGCTCTTCTATCAGATGAGGCATCCGGCCTCGAGACCCCTATGTCACAAAGTGGAATGCTAGCTCGGGACAAGCAGAAGAAAACGGCATATTTCGATTATCTAGCAGAGAAGGAGATGAGCCAGGCAGATTCGAAACTGTTCTTTCAGCGTAGCCAATTGGAAGGCCATAAGGCCGGTGGCGGCAGCAGCAATTGGGGTAATTCTCAGAAGTCTGCAGTTCCTAGTCCTGTAATGAAGCCCAAATCTTTCTCTAATGTCATAGACTCTGAACAAGGAGGTTTGCATAGATCTGAGAGCGGAGCTTCGGCAACGAGCGCACAAAATCCAGCACAAGTCGGCAAATTCAAAGCTGCTCCTCCTATTGGCCTCGCAGATCTTGGGAAGCATCCAGAAAGTGCCGTCGTCCAAGAACCGAGTCTTGCTGCGGGCCCTTTTGCTCACACTCCTGGGGCACACGGTCATAGACGAGAATCCCTACTTAGAGCAGATCAAGAGGCTAGAGATCATGCGGCTCATTCACAACTTCCACATGAACATAAACCGTTATTGGAAACGGAAGGACTGCATGGTGCAGGTGCAGGTGTTGGTCTTGGTTCCGGCGCAGGTGGCTTCGCAAACTCCGACGCCCACATAACTGCGGAGCTCGCATCTATCTACACTAATATCCAGAAGGTGATAGATATTAGGCATAAATACATTCGTTTGTCTTTACAAGAAGATGGCGATAATCCTAAAGATGATCCCAATTGGAGTATCTATCCACCACCACCAGAGCCATCCTGGCAGAACGAGAGACCTAAAGAGTCAGCGACAAATGCAAAAAATAGTACAACTAATAGTATGGCAAACAGCACGGTATTACCACCCCAAGCTGAAGGATATGGCCACCAGCGGAATCTTAGTGGTGCAGCCGCAGGACTGGCAAATCCTCAAGCCACTAGTATCCCCAAAACTCCTCTGCGTAAGCGAAAACCTGGACAAGATATTGGTTCCGATTTTGCAATGGAAGATCTTCTCCCTCTTCCCCCACATGGAGAGATGACCTTCCGACTGGATGGGAGTGGAGTATTCCAAGTTTACGAGAACTCAAAACTTCAGGAGCTTGATACACCAGTAATCAACATACCTGATATTAGAGAATTTTACATGGATTTGGAACAGGTGCTAAACATCTCATCTGATGGTCCAAGTAAAAGTTTCGCTTTTCGTCGCTTGCAGTATTTGGAGGGTAAATTTAACCTGTACGTCCTTCTCAACGAATATCAAGAAATGGCGGATAGCAAACGTGTGCCGCACAGAGATTTCTACAATGTTAGAAAGGTCGACACTCACGTTCATCACTCCGCTTGTATGAACCAAAAGCATCTACTACGATTCATCAAAAGTAAGATGAAGAAGAACCCTGATGAAATTGTCATGTACAGGGATGGTAAGCATCTCACTTTAGCTGAGGTTTTTCAAAGTATCAACTTGACTGCTTATGATTTGAGTATTGATACTCTTGATATGCACGTAAGTTTTGTATCTTCTTGAGCTGTACTGTATAGTACTAACCCTTCTCTAGGCTCATACCGATTCTTTCCATCGATTCGACAAATTCAACCTGAAATATAATCCTGTTGGAGAGTCTCGATTGAGAACGATTTTCTTGAAGACGGATAATTTCATCAACGGAAGATATCTGGCAGAGATCACCAAAGAGGTCATGTCAGATATTGAATCCAGCAAGTATCAAATGGTTGAATGGCGGATTTCCATCTATGGAAGGACTATCGACGAATGGGATAAGCTAGCAGCATGGGTTGTTGACAACAAACTATTCTCACACAATGTTCGATGGCTTATCCAGGTTCCTCGATTGTTTGACGTGTACAAATCTAGTGGATTGATGGAGAATTTCGAGCAAGTTATCATTAATCTTTTTCAGCCACTTTTCGAAGTAACAAAAGATCCTTCCAGTCACCCAAAACTCCATGTCTTTCTTCAGCGAGTCATTGGGTTTGATAGTGTGGATGATGAGAGTAAAGCTGAGCGAAGATTGTTCAGAAAATTTCCAGTACCAAAGGTATGGGATTCAAAGCAGAATCCTCCCTATAGCTACTGGATCTACTACCTTTTCGCCAATGTTTCTTCATTGAATGTATGGCGTAAACAACGTGGCTTCAACACATTCTTACTACGACCTCATTGTGGAGAAGCTGGTGATACTGATCATCTGGCTGCTGCAGTTCTGTGCTGCCATAGCATCAGTCATGGTTTGTTGCTTCGAAAAGTACCATTGCTACAATACATCTTCTACCTCGAGCAAATTGGAGTGGCAATGTCTCCCTTGAGTAACAATGCGCTGTTCTTAGCATATGAGAGAAATCCTTTCCTTTCATATTTCAAGCGAGGTCTTAATGTCTCTCTTTCCACCGATGATCCTCTCCAATTTGCCTTCACAAAAGAGCCACTCATCGAGGAATACTCTGTCGCTGCACAGATTTACAAGCTTAGCGCGGTGGATATGTGTGAACTGGCTAAGAATTCAGTCGTACAAAGTGGATATGAGCATTCTGTCAAGCAGAGATGGTTAGGTCCAGACTATGACCTCCCTGGTGTAAAGGGGAATACTATGGCAAAGAGTAACGTTCCAAATATTAGGGAAGGTTTCCGACATGAGACCTTGATGCAAGAATTATCCATGTGAGTCATAATCTTGGTTTTTCTCGAAGAAATATGTAATACTAATAACGATAACAGGATTGAACGCTACACCGCTTCGACGGTTCCAGTGATCGAAACATCAGTAGAAGCAGAAGCAAATCCCTTCTTGCTGGGGCCACGACCATACTCGCCAACATCGTCCATGAAAGCTTCTGCTAGCGTGGCAGATCATGGTTCTTCGCAACAATACCAGCAATATCCTGCTCAGGCGGCCCGCATTCTCCCGTCTCATTCTCAACTACATCTAGACTCCCATATCAAATCCCACCAGAAAGGCACAGATAGTCCATCTGGTTACGCTACCCCAAACCAACACACACAACCAAATTCTTTGTACAACTCGCCACATTCAGCTAATAAAGGACGGGAAAAGTCTTGGGGAATAGAATCGGGCTTCAGTGATCTGCATCTATCTGGCAGTGAACCGAGAATATTTCCGGGTTTGGTCAGTAGAAAACAAAGGAGAGAGAGCATCAGAAAGAACAGTGTGACAGAGAGTGATGAGCATGCTTTGATGATGTTAAAGAGAGGTACCGATAACAAGAGTGTGACGACATTGGATGGAAAGTTAGATGAGGAAAGCGATGTGCAAGACAGTAATGTAGACAATGATGATGCTGTCGATTCGAATTGAAGTATCTTGAGGAAGTAGGACACGGGGGGGTAGAAAAGGTAAGATTTGTGGAAATGCAACCTTTGGTATGAAAGGGATGGGATAGGAAGAGTTTTCATATGCGACGAGTAGTAGTAGGTGGACGTAAGATAAACTGCTTGTAGACTGACACCAATTGCTCTGGCAGCCTAGATAAACCGGCGTTGATCATGTTGTTATGACATGGATTGGATAAGGAAATGACATGTTTATCAAGATACCATAGAATATATCCACTACGGCCAGTATAACCTACTGAACCTACATAGAATATAGAATATCGAATGAATGATTTATATACCTTTGATCTCGACCTAGTAGTTGCAGGAGTATTGTGCAGTATATATGCTTGTTTAACATACAGTCAAAGAGTGTATGTATGTATTGCGCCACGATGGGGTGGGGTTCGTGAAGCTCATTGGCTGAAAGCTGTTGACTCAGCCGAAGGTTTGACCAGGGGGCTTCTCGCTCATAACTAGTATAAAAGAAAGAAACCAAAACACATATACTCGAGTAACACATAACATATCCGACAATTATCAAAAGAAGTGCTTAGTACTACAGTACGTATATATACGGTTGTCTTCAAAGATTTTCAATAGGAACTTAGTTTCCGTTCTATATACCAAGTGGTTTTATTGCGAGATTGTCAGCTTTGCTGCCTACAGCCCATTGTGAGCATCACCCAGAATGGATACACCATCGACCTCCAACTCTCACGAATCTACTGCAACTCATGTAAAGAGAAATCGTGTTCAATTAAGTTGTACACCATGTCGACATGTCAAACTCAAATGCGATCGAGCCCAGCCATGTAGTCAATGTCAAAAGAAAGATAGAGTGGGATCATGTATATATCTCACACCCCAGCCAAGAAAAAGAGCTGCAATGAGTATGCAGAAGAGGCTGAAGCATTTAGAAAGTTTGGTTAAGGATGTCATGAATTCTCAGCCAGCATCTGTACCACATACTCCGCCTCGCGATGATCAGGAACCGAGTAGACTTGCTGCCATAGCGGCGGCTCTTGGTATTTCATCGGAAGCTCCGAGATCAAATACGGCTGATAATTCTTCATCTGAATTTAATAACTCCTCAACTGTTCAACACACAGAAGCTACGTCTGGGCAGGTTGTATTTGGCGGGAAGGGAACGCAATATGTTGGCGCTACGCACTGGGCTGCTATCCTTAATGATGTGAGGGTTCTCTACACAATCGAGGTACTCGTGCTGAATTTGCCAGATAGGAGAAGTCAAAGATTACTTTGACGAAGGAGAAGAAGAAGATGTCGAAGGAGAAAATGAACTTGACGCCAGTTTAATTTTCAATACAGATGCGCCACCAACTAAAGCTGGAATCTTGGCAGCTCTACCTCCTCGTAGAGTTGTTGACAAGCTCATTCAAGGGTATTTTCATGGGGGTAATCCTTCGCTACGTAGGTTTCTCTACCAACTTTTGGATGGGCTAACGCTAAGATACGTCACAAGATATTCTTCATGCTCCGACTTTTCAAAACGAGGTAATGTAATGCATTGTTATTTCCACTCTAGTTTTGGATCAAATACTGGTTCTTGAAGGAGTTAGTTCTCCTTACGCATCATGTAGCATGCAAATGAAACCTTTTTTAAGTGATATCCTCATTCCATGCTAGATGAATTACTGGTCTTGTTCCGAACTGATATCTCATCGATTAGTATGTGAGATTTTGGGCCAATCCACATGATACTCCCCTCGCCTGGTTGGGTCTGTTATATGGCATCATGTGTCTATCTCTATTCTCCAGTTATGCAGCAGGCGAAAACAATCCCGATGAGCGTGCTTCTTCAATGCAAACTATGCGAACATACCGACGCAATTGTATCCAATGCATCCGCTTATCAGATTACATAAAACCGGGAAAGTACACAATCCAGGCAATGCTTGCTCATTTGGAAGGAGAATTCGTTCTGAGTGATGCTGATCAGGTGGACTGCTATGTAGTGCTTGGTGTTGCCGTTCGGTTAGCTTTACGATTGGGTCTTCATCGAGACCCCGATAAAGTTGGTGGAGAAATGACTCCGTTCGAAGGGGAAATGCGTAGACGGCTCTGGAACATTCTGAGGCAGATAGATTTGCTTGCATCTTTTCAAATTGGCTTGCCTGGTATGATCGAATCAATCGACAGTGATGTTCTATTACCACGGAATCTTAACGACTTGGATTTCGATGAAGATTGTACAGAGCTTCCACCTTCTAGACCCGATTCGGAGGTAACATCAATGACATACATTCGCTTCAAGAGCAGGGTATGTCAAGTCTTTGGCAAGATTGCTAGGTATGCGAACTCGTTGTCTCCACCGTCTTACAATGAGATTATGAAATTAGATGCACAGTTGAACGAGATTCACGTAACAATACCGCCATCGTTTCAATTTCGACCGATAGATAATTGCATCGCAGACTCGTCACAATTGATCATTCAGAGACTGAACCTCGCTCATCTCATATGCAAAAGTCGATGTGTCCTGCACCGGAAATATCTTGTAGGCAATCAAGATTATCCCGAACACGAATATTCCGTCACAGCCGGCATCAACGCCGCAATGCAACTTCTCGACTTCCAACAACAAACCTACGAAGCTACACAACCCGGGGAAGTATTATCCAGGGATAGATGTTTTCCTTCATCATTATCAATGCATGATTTTCTGCTCGCCGCAATGATCGTATACATGAGGACGATGAAGATACTAGAAGGAGAATCTAAAGGCACACATCTAACCGCGTCTTATCAAAAACAAAAAATGGACATGATTTCTGCGTTAAAAATATCTTCGGATATCTGGCATATTTCGCAAATCAAATATCACGAATTCAAACGGGCGGCTGATGTGCTGGCTGTTATGATGAGAAAAATACACGCAGCTTCTGTTACATTGGGGGAGCAATCAACGGCTTGGGATATGGTGCTGAGTACGAATTATGAGAATTCGATAGCTGGACTTTCGTTGGAAGGTATGATGCCCTTAACCCAGAAAGTATTTTGATGTGCCAATGCAAACACACATTAACATATCTCTCTCATAGACGGATTCGCAATGGACCAAGCAACCACAAACCCCCTAGGAGCTGTCACATGGTCCATGAACCCTCCCGCTCCAGCTACCTCTTCCTATTTCCCAGATACTACTCTACCCCAACAAAATTCCTTGCACGAGACCATACCTTTTGACTATTTAATGGATCTTCCTACTAATTTCGAATGGGTATGTTTGTTTTCATCAGTTATTATCTCGAGGCAGTGAGGCACGAGGGTAGGCATGGGGGTCTTCAATTCTTCTTGGCTATTTATATATCGAGCCAAAAGATTAAAAGAAGTGGAGTAATTGTTGACTGACATGGAAATGGAACAGGAAACATTTGATAACCATATCCGAGCAGATGCTTACCAGCTACCGCTTCATGATCAACATCTTCCAAATATAAATCTTGATATGGATGGATTTGATAGGTTTGATTTTGGAGGCGGACAAGATAACGGGAGTGGGGGAGTGTATGGGTTGTGAGAGTGGTGAGTGGTGGTGAGGGGGCGCCGCGGTACAGTGCGAGGTAGCAGAGCCGACAACAAGGACCATCAAAGCATTTTATTCCAGGGATTTGCAACGCAAGACCGTGATAGCAAATCTTGAGGAAGAATGTATCAATCATACTATACGCCATTCAAGCGCGTATGAGTATTAGATGATTTTAGGCACTGATTGTAACCGAAGGAAGCAAGCAGACTTTCCTGCTTACATCTTAAGACTACGAGTAAGACCAAATCAATCATACTCAGATATCGCGGGTAGTCCCTAGTTATTATCAATTCTTTAGTCATTGATTTGATAACTTGGATTTACAATTGTTCTTGGAGCCGGGCGATGTATGTCACTAAGTAAGCCTGGCTACTCGGTTATTTTCTTTTGGCGGAAGTGTGGAAATTTAGTTATATATATATCATTCGTGCCTGTGTACCTGCGTACCGGGCTGTGCATGACACGAAAGGGCGGTAGACAGATTTGAAAAGTAGCAGTCCCCACAGACTCTCACGTTTGCAGTGATTCCCTCAAGTGCTGATTGCAACAATTTGATATAATTCAGCTCAAGATCAAGAGGTTGCAGAGGAGATTAAAGCCATTATGAAGCACCATGGCAATTTCTGGGTTCTGCGTCGATCTCTGTTTTTTTTCTCTACTGGGTACTCGGTATCTGCTGGTGAGCCGGGTCAGCGCGCGTGAGCGCATACGGTTGAGAATCGAGAGGAGTGGCGTTCAAGGTGTACTCGAGTAGGGAATGAAGGGATTAGGTGTAGAGGGGAAAGACCTCTCTACTGAACCCTATCGAGTACTTGGATCACGAATGAGTCTCGGTTGCTGGAATGGGACTATTCGAGTTTTTGTTCATACATTTCGCTTCTTCAAACTTCAAATTGTTTGGTTTCGGATATCTTTAAAGTTTTACAAAAGAGTTCATGATATCTACAAAAATTCGGTAGATCGTTTTGCTTGTATCTGGAATTCTGTTATGTGTACCCTATTTTGGATTTGTTTGTGGAGCTAGCTACTTAATCGAATCGTAGAAATCGTTTTCGATCGCAAATCTTGATAGGAGCGCTTTTGATCGCTCTCACGCTTGCTCGGTTTCATCGCTAGGTGATGTAATACTATATATAGCATAGTAACATTTCCCTTGTAAGTGGTAACCATGGGTCACATTTGTGTTGACTATCGATGGTGATCGATACAAGTAAATAATTTGTAGTTCTGGAAATATGCGACGTGGTCATTAATTATTTTATCTATAGTAGACCCCGATTCTTTCATGATCAATACAGCTATCAGATCAGATGACTCTAATTCTCCCTACTTTCTCCTTATAGCACAAACTCTGACAGTCATGAGGGGTTGTAGAAGGTAGAAAGACAGACTGTTAGTTTATCAATCGGCCGTCTAGATATTGCAAACTCTTTCCAATAACAAACACATGACCCTGATTGTGGTTTCCATGCAATCACTGGCATTACTGTATCATCTTTCGACTCACAAACATATATACATCCATCCATCCTAAAGTCCCCAACTGAATCTCAGTATTAGACTGCCTGTCCCCTATTTTCCAGATCCATATAAGACTCCCCCCTCCAACCATATTTCCGATTTTCCCAGATTTTCCTTTCCCACTCTCCAAATCTTCCATACCATTCCTTCCTTCCTTCCGCAACTATCTCTATCCCATGCTCCCCAAGCCACAAGACACAAGTCACAAGTCACAAGTCACAAAAACAAAAAACCCGCCCAGCCAGCCCCTCTCATAAATTTTCAAATTCTTTCACCCTCAAGTTTCACCTCCCCACCGACCTTAACCACTCACAATAGTACCTGAAACATTCACCATAATAGAAAGCTACCTAGCACAGACCACAGACAGACAGACAGACAGGCAAGTAAAACTACCAAAGTTACGTACCTAGATATCTAAGCGAACCCATTACAGTAGAAAGTCTCGCTACTTAAAACATCCACTCATTTCTCAGCACCTCACATGGCATTCATCACACAACAATTCACCACCACAATAATTCACCACAACAAGAGAAAAGAAGTTATAACTTACCTAGTCTAGTACTTATACAGCGAAGCGAACTTGAAGTTAAACCGCACCTAATCCACAATCCCATTTACGCGAAGCGAAACCTCTTGCATCATATTATAGAGAATTAAATCGAACAGAATTTAGAAAACAGAGTAGAAAATAGAAGAACAGGCAGAAGAATAGAGCAACAGAAGAATTCTAGCGCAGCTTCGCGAATATCGATCGTGGTATCTAAATCCAAATGAAGCCATTCTAAATTCTTCTTTCTTTCATTCCCTCACTCACTCTTCTCCTTCTCCTTCTCCTTCTCCTTCTCCTTCCGCTTTCCTTTCCTTTTCTTCACACACTTCACTCTCTAGCACGAAAAGAAAATAGAACATCGGTCTCGGTCTCGCTCTTGCTCAAGATTCCTGAGTACATCAGACAGTCAAGACTTAAATCCCTTCATCTAGACTTTCTAACCAGAAAAAACTTCGTTCTAACTTTTGAATTTCCTACCTAATTCATTCATACAGATACCTACCCTACCCTACCCCCTCTTTACCATAAGACAGAACTAGAGCTCCAAAATGTCCTCCTTCATCTTAAACCACCCACCACCCTCCTACCCCCCAGGCTACCGCGCCCCTTATCCGCGCCCCCTTCACCTCCCGCCCCACGACCCCAACATATTCCGTCCCATCTACCCACTACCTCCACCTCTACCTCAACCTCACTAACCCAACTACCAACATCCTCACCACCTAGCAACCCCCTTCTACCTAACTCAACTGCATCTTTCGCGGCCCCCGATCATCTCTACTCCATTTCCGCACCCATCTCCTACTACTTCCCCCACTACATCCTCCTCAAATCCTTTTACTATCTTCTCTATCTTCCCTTCCCTCTTTGCCCCTATCCTGCAATTATTTTCATTTCTCTGCACCATTACCCCTCTCCCCCCATCTCCATCTCCATCCCCATCCCAATCTCAATCCGAATCCCTCCTCTCTTACCTCCGCACACAAACCCTCAACTGGAAAGCCCTAAGCATCGCCCTCATAATCTTTCTATTCGTACTACAGACGCTGGGTCCAAAGGGGGCTCGGGCTGGAATTGGTGTTGGTGTTAATGTTGGCATTGGTATTAGCAATAGCAGCGGAGAGACAAAATTGGAAATGGAAATCGAGCCAGCATACACAGTTGCAATGAGGAACAGTAGGAGTATGCGGGGATTATTGGGGGCGGGCTGTAAGAGGGAGTTGATTGTTATTTGAGTTTGGATTTGAGTTGGGGGTGATGGTGATATTATTTGAGTTTGAAGGTTGATCTGTATCTGAGGTTTCGAAGGTTGGAGATGGGGTTTAGGAAGAACGAGTTTGGGGATTGCTTGGTGATGGAGTTGAGGAAGAACCGAATTTGGGGATTGCTTGGAGATCTATTGGAGTTTGGAGATCGCATGTTTAAATGGAGTTCATGGCAGGATTCATGATACTGGGATCACGCCGCATGGTTTTGGTAGAATATCGTATTGCTCCTAGGTGCTGTACCAATATGAATTAATGATCATCACGACATTTCAAGATATTCCACAATGATAAAAATGGAAAGATGATGAATATGGACGTGAAACTTAATGCATTATACACGGTAACTCAGCCCAGGCCATCCATTGATCTAAATACGGAGGGAATCAATACAAACAAAGAGAATACCCATCTATGTAACCGCTTAAATGCCCAAAGAAAACTCGACACCAACGTCGATATCACGAGCTGATGAATATGTTAGCGATGATCACTTGGTATGGATTAGAAGTAAACTTACCCATCTTCACAACCTTTGAGAATTGAACTGCCTTCTCTGCTGCGCTTTGCAAGTCATCGATGGAGAAAATCTTGAGACCAGCCTCGTTGATCAACTTGTGTGCAGCTTCCATGTTTGTTCCTTGCAATCTTGCAATGATTGGGATTCTAAGGTCCATGCTCTCAACAGTGCTGATGAGACCTTGAGCGATAGCGTCACATCGAACGATACCACCGAAGATGTTCACAAAGATAGCGGTAACCTTGGGGTCGCTGGTGATAAGAGTGAAAGCCTCTTTGATAGCTTGTGGGGTGGCTCCACCTCCGACATCAAGGAAGTTAGCTGGCTCACCACCATTAAGCTTGATGATATCCATAGTAGCCATGGCAAGACCGGCACCGTTCACCAAGCATCCGATATCACCACCGAGCTTGATGAAGTTAAGACCGGATTCTGCGGCACGAACTTCGTCCGCATCCTCTTGACTAGTGTCGCGCCATTCAAAGACCTCCTTTTGACGGAACTCGGCATTGTCATCGAAACCAAGCTTGGCATCCATGGCAAGAACCTTGTGGTCAGAGGTCTCAGAGAGAGGGTTGATCTCAATTTGAGTAGCATCCTTCTCCATGAAAATCTTGTAAAGCTTTTGGACGGTGTCCTTAGCATCCTCGATACATTGCTCGCTGAAACCAATATCAGTAACAATCTTTCGTGCGATATCATCAGTAACACCCTTGTGGATATCAATGTAGGTAGTTGTGATTGCGTTTGGGGTTTCCTTTGCAACAGCCTCGATATCCATTCCACCTTGGGACGAAGAAACGATGACTGGTCCTTGGGAACCACGATCCATCAAGATAGCAAGGTAGAATTCCCGGCGAGCAAACTTGCGCTCGCAGATGTAGACGGAGTTACAGATACGTCCTTGGGCACCAGTTTGCTTTGTGACAAGCTTGTGTCCAATCATTTGGTCTGCAAACATCTTTGCTTCGGTAGGAGAGTAGATAACTCTGACACCCCCCTTTAGCCCATTGTCGAAGGTACCTTTTCCTCTTCCACCTGCAAGAACTTGTGCCTTGATAACCATGTCATCTCCGCCAATCTTCTTTGCAATTGCCTCGGCCTCATCGGCATTGTTCGCAACAAATCCATTGGGAACACCAATTCCATACTGTATTCTCGTCAGATTCGTCTTCGCCCGTGTCACTTCTTCGTACCTTTCTTAACAAATCTGCTGAGAGATACTCGTGTATGCTCAAAGCTCTCTTTTGTTGCGCAGCGCCGACCATGCGGGATGGCATGGAGACCTAAGGGCCATGTTAACTTTGTTGATAAGAGACTATTTTGCTGCTGAGGAAAATTACCCTGCTTGCCTTCAAGGCAGCTGCCAAAGGTTGGCTTCTAGCTAGCTTGAACATGTTTGATATAAATTATGAGGGGAAGACACAATGCCGTCTTTCTATCGTAACCAAGATCATTTTTTCAGTGATTGTCCTTCCGCCAAACGGGAATTCGCGAAGCTAATACGGTAAGCGTAACGGACCGGTGCCGCCAATTTCACGTGGGGGATGAAACCTTGAACTTATTAAATATTATTTTTATTTCTAACCTGTTATGATAGAACATCTATCTTGTACGACGAATGAACATACGCAGTACATTCTCCCCCCGCACGAGGATTCAATATTGCACTATACAGCATAAATCATCATGGTGAAGTTCGCAGATGATCAATTGGAACAACCTCTACCCAAAAAGGAAACATGGGAGGAATTCAATGCGAAAATGAATCGTATTCAAATGGCCCTCGCAAAACGTGAAGCCATCGCGGAAAACATCCTAGCAAAATACCCTACCGACAGACGCCGTAAGACGCAAGAAGAAATCGACGCAGACGATGCCTTATGGTTTTCTACACCAGCGGGCAATCAACCACTCAATACCGATCCAGCATTTGCGAAATACTTGAAGCCGGCAGCAGAACGTAGTCAGAAAACACTTCGCGACAAAATGCTGCCTTCGAAAGATTTGAGGGCTGGTAAGGCGAGGGATGCTGAGGAGAAGGCTGCGAGTGCGAAGAGGACTATGGCGGCTAGTAGTGATGAGGATGAAGGCCGAACTGCCTTGGGGAAAGCGAAGAAGCTGAAGACGAAACACAATAGGACAAATGGAGGGGAGGAGGATAAACCGGGCGGCGCATTGATCAACAAAGCTCTGCTTGCTCAGAATCAGGTCGAAGAAGGCAAAGAGTTGGTTAATAAAGCGGTATTGCTCCAGCTGGAAGATGCAGATGAAAGTACGGAAGTTACATCGAAGAAGTCTAAGAAAAAGAAGAGGAAGAAGTCGAAACAGAAGAATGCGCTGGCGGAAGAAGATGATGAGCAAAGTGACATGGAAAATAAATCGCCTGAGGCCGTTGATCAAATGGATGTGGATGAGGAAGATTTCAATTTGTTCCGCAGCAAACCCATCGATGCGAATCCAAAGGATAATCTGCCTACCGATACCGAGGAAGCTTATGAGGGAGAGCCTGAGACCGAGCAGGCATCAGATGAAGAGAGAAAGGCAAGGCAAGAAGCGAAGAAACTTTTGAAAGCCATGAGGAAGAAAGAGCAAAAGGACAAGAGGAGAGAAGAAAGGTCGAAGATGAACGTCGACGTCGAGGACTGACGATGGCTGCCAGGCCTATTGTGGATAGTATACTGGATTTGCTATACTCATAAAACTGCACCCATATGAACACACTATGATTTACTTTACTACAAAGATATCCTGAAATTCAATAGCGTTCTATTTTATATAAATATATATCCTGTCCTATCTCCAAATCTTCCGAACCATATTGCCACATGAAACCCATATATTATAATCATAAAATGTACACAACCCAACGCCTTACTTCCGACTCGCTTTCTCCGCATCACTTCCAAATGAAGTCTGCCCACTACCATCCTCCGTCACAATTCTCCCCACACCACCCAAAACTTCTCCATCATGTTGCGTTTCCTCGGCCGAAACAACGGGAGGACCACTAAACTCCTTTCTACCTCGAATCACGTACCAAAGAACGCTTATAGCCGCGAAGAACACAAAGACTACACTCGCGTAATTCATGCTCGAAGGAGTGACAGGAATGGCGGTTGGCATGCAGAAGAGGACGATGGCGAGGGTTATCCACTGTTGGTGACGAATTAGTACATCGGTCTAAAGAGTGGGATCTCCATTGTACTCACAACCACGGCAATAGTATTAATAACAAAGCCAAACCTCCCCAACGAAAAAGAAGCATGTTTTACCGCCTGTCTTCCTCGGAGAAGATTAACCAGAATGGGTATTCCATATGAAACCGACAGACAAATGGTAGCCACACCCGTAAAAGCATTAAAGGCACTCGAGGAACCAAAATAGATGCATCCGAGAATACAATCTACGACGGTGGAGAGCACGAGACCCCATAAAGGAATATCATATTGGGGGTTAACCTTTTTCCAGAGACGAGATCCGGGGATCGCGCCATCGCGTGCAAAGGCATAGGTGCAACGACTTGCGGCTGTGAGAGCGCCAACGCCGGCGAAGAAGAGGATACCGAGGATTAGGAAAAGAAGACCGAATCCACCGGCTGCGGAACCGGTTACTGTTTTGAAGATGTAACCGATGGGTTGACCGTTTAGTTGGCCGAGGACTGAAGAGACGTCTGGGAGAACGAATAATAGAGGTACTAAATAGAGCACTCCAGTCACGCCTGCTGCGAAAACAGACAGGACTATTGCTTTGGGAACTTCTCGTTCGGGGTTTTGTACTTCTTCGCACATGGCGGCGACCATGCCGTAACCGGTCAAGGTGTAGGAAGCTTGGAGAAGTCCTACAAACCAAGCCCAGCCTGATGGCCAACCAGATGCTGAGGCATCGAAATGAGTGAAGACAAACTCGGCATCTCGACGATCATCGGCCATCACTAAGAGGGTGACAATGATGATAATCACTGATGCTGAAGTCCAATATATACAGACTTTGTTGATGAAATCCAAATATTTAGCACCAAACACATTTACTGAGAAAGCAATGGCCATAACGGCCCAGAAACATAGGACTGTTTGCCATGCGTTGGCTACAAAATCCTCGTTGAAAATCGAGATAGAACTTAATATCAATTGTGCCCCCTATTTTGGGTATTAGCATCTGGGACATCATCCATCATACTACAATTGCTCAACATACCGAAAAGTTGATGGACAAAGTCACTGTCCAGTTGCCTACCAAGGTCAACCAGCCCGTGATCCAGGAAACGACGGGAGCATACTTCCTGGTGCTGAGCATCGCAGACCAGTAACTAGGTACGTTTCAAAGTCAGTCTAGACTCTTCCAAAAGCCTCGGCATTTTCGAGGGATCTCGGCCATAACAAATGCAACATTGATATTTTCCTCCTCGAAATTCGTTTGAATTTGTACTCACTATACGCCTCCTGATGTCGGATACACACTACATATCTCAGCCAATGATGAAGCGATCGCAAGTGATATAAATGATACGAAAATCCAGCCATATAAAACGGTCACAGATTGTCCATCGGTCAGAGAATAAGTGAATGCTGTGCTGAGACCGAATGGGACTGCCATGATAGCAAATGACCTGGAACTTTGGTTTAGCATTGGCTATCAGGGCAAGAGGAGGTAACCTACAGGCCCAATATACTCATCATACTCAGGGAACGAGGTAATTCAGCCGTGTATCCCATATTTGCCAATGCAGCATCTTGATTTGAGACCGCCATTGTGGCAAAAATATACCCAAACAAACGCAAATAAAGATAGAATACTCGAGACTCGAGTATGTATAAAAAAGCAAAAGAAAGACGATTGATATCAAAGAGGTGCTGAGAGGTTTGAATCTCTAGCAATTGAGCGAGTTAAAGTATCTAAAAGTACTCGAGTACCGGTACAATATACTCGAGTAGATAAAGGAAGATTAAACTAAACACTGGACTCCAAGAGACTATGAGATCGCCGAAAGATGGGGAATGAACTGATAACTTATCGATGGATGGTGATAGCGTCTAAATATCGGGGAAATCCATAACGTACTTTTATTAGGATTTGTCAATGGCAGCTGTCATTAATTGCAAGGAACTTTGATTCCCGAAATGAAATGTAAATTAAAAGGAACATAGCACAAAAACTAATAACTTTACCCGTATCTTGGAATATGAACGCCATGCGATTATGCGATGAAGCGAGTAACTGTATGTAGCGAGGTAGCGAGGTAGCGGGGTGGCTGTGAATAACGTATACCAAAAAAGGGGGGAGGGGGGGAGGGGGGAAGGGGGAAAATCTGGAGAAATACAAAGACTTACATACATACCGATATATGTGACCTATCTAGTAGGTAATGTTGAAATTTTGAACTCCACATCAGCCAACAATATGATTAGATGAACTTACTTAGGTAGATTTATGCATCAAGTTTGTACGTTGTCAACGTGACGTGTTAGCTAGGTATAGAAGTTCGACCAATCTTATGAAATATTGATGAAAAAATCGATTTGGTGGCATATGCAATGAAGGAGAAGTTCAAGGGCATAATACAGTATTATACTTATATATACTTGTACCATACTTGATAAAGTGTTTCTGATATATTTGTTTAATTTTCATCATTCTTGATTTCAGTTATCAATACATACCTAGTATCTATTCATATATCACGTGTGGATCGGCTAAACCTGCTTAATTCATCGAGCAGCTAGCTATCTAAGGTTCACAGATCAGATGCCAATTGTCCCTTGAGAAATCAAGGGTATTCTTTCACTATTCAACCGTAACGTCACTATATTTATTGTCCTTTCTTGCTTGCCAATCACAGACATGACTACTTCCAACATAAATGGTCATGGCGAGAGACCTGCTGCAGTTTCAAGATATCCTACAGCTCCTTCAGTCATGACAATGAATGGCAACTTTGCAGCTGTTGGCGATGCGCCAACAGAAGAACAATATGAACATGGCATACAAGTTATTGATGAGCAAAAGGAATTCAAGTACGCAAATATGAAAATGGAGTTGGAAGCTCTACCATGGCTGACAAAATTTGTATAGTCCTAACCTCAACACTTATCTCCAATATACGGACACAGCACACTCTGGCTTCAATTACCATCTCATATCAGTTTTCGGATCTCAGTCGACCGGAAAATCTACACTTCTCAACCATTTATTTGGCACACAATTTGGGGTGATGTCCGAAAGGGAGAGGCGGCAGACTACCAAAGGAATATGGATGTCAAAGAATAAGAATCAAGGCTCTGGGACTTCCGAGTCTATGGCAGACAACATTTTGGTTATGGATGTTGAGGGAACGGATGGCAGAGAGCGGGGTGAAGATCAAGACTTTGAAAGAAAAAGTGCGCTGTTTGCTCTGGCCACCTCGGAGGTTCTCATTGTAAATATATGGGAACATCAAGTAGGATTGTATCAGGGCGCAAATATGGGATTACTGAAAACTGTATTTGAAGTTAACTGCCAACTATTCTTAAAGGACAAGCAGTACGTTTTTCTCCCCTCTGAAGATCATTAACCATTTAGTAACACTGCACAGGTCTACCCCACGATCCCTTCTATTCTTCGTTATTCGAGACCATCTTGGAACCACTCCACTTGCGAACCTCAAGGACACTCTCATTCAGGATTTGACCTCGATATGGACTTCTCTTTCTAAACCTGCCGGCCTTGAGAACTCAAGGATCGAAGACTATTTCGACTTTGCATTTGCAGCTTTACCGCATAAAATCTTACAGCCAGATAAGTTTGTTACGGAAGTTCGAAAGCTTGGTACACGATTTAGAACTGGACGTAAATCTACAAGGGCTGAGGATGCTGGATTCGAGGGAGGTATCTTCTTGCCAGAATATCACCGTCGAATTCCCGCCGATGGGTTTTCGGTATACGCGGAGGGTGTCTGGGATCAAATTGTGAACAACAAGGATTTGGACCTTCCTACTCAACAGGAACTTTTGGCACAATTTCGTTGCGATGAAATCTCTCGAGAAGTCTTGGTCTCATTCGACGGAAAGATTCAGCCCCTTGAAGAAACGCAGACAGAAGATACCAGATCAGGGAAGCCTACTGTTCTTGCGGACCTAGGTGTTACCGGTAAAACAGCACGCACTGATACTGTCAAGAACTTCGAGACACAAGCTAGCAGGTATCACAAAGGTGTATATGCTTTGAAGCGTACCGAACTTGAAGGCAAGATCGATACAAGATTAAAGGCATTATACAATGGACAACTGACGGCAGCTCACAAGTCTGGCGTTGCGTCGTTTAGCGATGCTGTTGCTTCTGCTGTGAAGACCGGTCAAAAGAGAGCAGCTTCATATGAATTTGCGGATATTGTGGAACGAGAAAAGGAGGTTGCACTCAGAACCTTTGAGACAGAAGCAAAGAGTCTGTATATTGAGGGATTATCATGGACTAATTTCAAGTCTCAATATGATCTTTACGAAAAAGACCTCAACGAAGTCAGCAGTAATCTCAGAAAGGAAGAAATGAGACGTCTTGCTACTCGTGTTGAAAGATGGGTGAGATCACGATTGAATGATTCGATTGGAATCGAGTTCAACAAACTCGGTTCTGGGAGAGGTGGTAGTGGAGCCCCTGAGACAGGCGAAAAGCCTCCCACTGAAAAAGATTTGTGGGATAGAATATGGAAAACCTTTATTGATACAGTCAAGGAAGCAGAGTCTAAATTCATCGATAGAGCAAAGAGCTTTGATGCTAGTGAAGATGAGATTGAAGTTGGTCTATGGCGTCTGAGAAGGAAGAGTTGGGGTGTTCTCCGAGCCAAGATTGACGAAGAAGTCATGGAAGGCAATATCCTTCTTAAACTCCGAGAGAACTTTGAGGATAAATTCCGCTACGATGAAGCGGGCGTCCCACGTATATGGCGTCCTTCCGATGATATCGAAGGACTGTATACCAAGGCCAGAGAGTCAACTATTACCCTCATTCCATTATTGGCCAAATTCAAACTCTCGGAAACACTGTCGCCTCCCGAATTACCCGAATGGATTGGTGGCGCTCCAACTAGTGTTGATCCTAAAGATGAAGAAGATCTGACGCCCATTGGTGGTGTGGACGAGGAAGAAGGAAAGAGTCTCGAGGAAGAAATGACCATTCTTAGTGAATCCAAGCGTCAAGATCTCGTCGTCAGGTTCAAGAAAACAGCAGATGGTGTATATGTTGAGGCTAAACGTAGTGCTATTGGTGGTGTGGCTCAAGTTCCTTTGTACTTTTACGGTCTATTATTGGCCTTGGGCTGGAATGAAATTGTTGCTGGTATGTTTTTTCCCCTCTCTCATCTCCCACGCAAAATAAAACCCAACTAACCATCCAACCCCATAGTTCTCCGCAACCCAATCTACTTCTTATTCCTCATCATCTGTGGTATCGCAGCATATATCACATACACTCTTAATCTCTGGGGCCCAATCATCCGCATGATGAACGCGGCGAGTACTCAAGGATTGGAGATTGGAAAGGAGAAGTTGAGGGATTTCCTGAAGGATTCGGAGATGGGGAGGCAAGCGTTGGGTATGCAGGGGAGAAGTGTGGAGGATAGTGAGAGGGTGGGGTTGAGTACTTTGGATAGTAGGGGGAAGATGGTGGGTACGGATGTGGATGAGGATGGGGATGGTGATGAGATTTAATTGAGTGTTTTGTTGGACTTTGGAGTGGTGGTGAGGGTGGGGGTGGGGAATGTATATTACATTGGGTGTGGTAGGTTGTGTATGGTGCGGTATGGTATGGTATGGCGTAGAGATGAGATGAGATGAGATGTTTAAAAATGATGGTGTAGCGAGCGAGCGATGTATAGCGAGTTAGTGAGTAAGCGAGTGCATTGGATTGATGGGATTGATTGATTTACTATAACCTACTATCGAGTGTTGAGAGTACGTAGGCATGAATACTCGAGTACAGTAGATAGCTATGGGTGGGCTATGATGAATGGATGGATGAATGAATGAATGAATGAATGATAATTCGTTGATTTGAGTTGAGTTGAGTTGAGTTGAGTTGAGTTGATTTGAGTTGATTTGATTGATTGATTCATTGATGGGATTGGTGGGATTGATGGGATTGATGCGATTGATTGATTGATATTTATCTATCTATTCTTTTTTGAGGAGAGTAGAATAAGTATGTATTAATATAGTTGATAATTGGTAGTTGATAGTTAACCAGCATGAGTTAAACTTAAACCAGTTAACTTAATATACTCAAGTACTAATACGAGTATACTAATTAAACCAGCAATCCAGTTTACTTTAGTTTAGTTTAGTTTTATTTAGATAACCCAAAGGAAGATACATACATACATACATACATACATACATACATACATACATACATATACACATATATACAGTAAGTACCGCCTACCTCGGGCACCTACCTAGATAAAGACGTAATCTTACAGTACAAAAGTACAAAAGTACAAACTACTCGAGTACTAACCAGACGCCCCTCGAGCTCCCATGATTTTGCGCCGATTATGTAATTACATAATATATAAGAGAGAGAGAGAGAGAGAGAGAGAGAGAGAGAAATTCCCACACATTCTCTTTGCCAATGGCGCACGCAAATGAATATTTTTAATTTTTATTCGATTTAGTATAGTACTGAGTATAATATAGCACTCATCACTAC